ATATATATATATATATATAAATAAATAAATAAATAAATAAATAAATAAATAAATAAATATGGAGGCAGCATCACCCAAACACACACTGAAGCCAAACAAGCAAATTCCAGAGCACAACTTGCTGCAGAGGGATGAAGACAAACATTGCCGCTCTGACAAGTCGCTGACATTTAACACGCTGCCAAAATAAACACTGGAAACTTTATAAATCAAAGTGGTCAAGCCAGAAGTGGTTGAGCCAGAACACTGACATGTGCCGACATGGATTCCTCTGAGAATCTGTGGAAGGACTTGAAGGTAGATGCTCCTGGACGAGACTCGTAATCTATCGTGACCGAGTTGGAGAAAACTCGTAAACAAATGACAGAATCAGACACACTTCAAGCTGTTATCACCGCCAACTCTATTTCAAACAAGTGTTGATTTGGCTGTTTCCATTTTTATTCAAATTATAGTTCTGCATGCAATTTTCAGTAACTATGATCGACAAGTGTTTTTGAAATCTGATGAGTTGTTTTCGGTCGTTTTTGTGTAAAAGCCAAATGTTCCCGACTTTCAACTTTGACATTTTGAGGATTCGCAGCTTTTCTTTGTTTTATATGTATATATATATCTTTGTGTTTTGGACTGTTGTTCAGACAAAACAAGCAACTTGATGATGTTATTTTGGGCTTCAGTTACTTGCAATGCACATTTTTCACTATTCTTCAATGATTTTATCATTTTAGAATTTGGGCTGAAAGACCAGAAAAGTCTGGAAAAAAGAATCTACCTAAACCTTAATGTTATTGCAAAACCTACAAGAAATTAGTCATGTAGAATAACAAGTCATAATAATTGAATCATCTGTTTTTCGTGTGAAAACTAAGTAATTAAAATTTATTGCTATTGTGTCTAAATAATAAAGTCTACATTTGACTATAGTAGTGAATAGAACAGTCCTGTAAACATATTATGTGATGTAGCTACTCACCGAGCTGCAGATGCACAATTGCTGCAGTCTTGTCCGCTGTCAGCGCCCAGACATTCAGCTCATCGACTGACTCGATGTCCTCCAGCTTCAGGAGGTCCTCTCTGATTCTCAGAGTGTCCAGATGTCTGGGAACACCTGACACAGCGGGATAAACACATCACCACTCTAAATACTCAACAACACAACCTGACAGGACTCTGGGAGCAAAGACTTACCCTCCAGCACGATGACGCTTGTGTCTCGTATGATGCGGAATGTGGTGAAGAGAACCAGAATGGAGAAGATGTAGGTACAGATGGGGTCCGCCAACTTAAACTCCGGCTGTGAAGTCACAGAGTTACATCAGATCAACTAAAACCAATATCAACCAATATCTAAATTACCAGTTACACTTCCAATAAGTAATTTTACTTTGAAGGTACAAATGACTCTTTAATGCACAATGCAGCTGCAAATAATCCTCTCTATATCCATACAAAGAAAATCTAGCTAGTTTACGGGGAAAAAAAGTTAAATAATATCAAATGAAAGAGATTTAATTTCCTAACCAATACTGCTGGTACCTAAAAGAAAACTGTATTAATTGTTAATGGTCGTGACAAACGTGTGTACCTTGAAGCGGACGATGTAGGCAGCTATGAGCACCCCGACGCTCTGAACGAGGTCTCCCAAAGCGTGGATGAAGGCGGCTCTCACAGCCAGGCTGCCGTGCTGCTGACCCGACCCAGCCGACTGTGAATCGGAGGCGGCCGCAGAGCCGTGAGAGTGACCGTGGCCGTGAGAAGAGTGACCGTGGCCGTGAGAGTGGAGGTGACCATTCTGGTTTAACAAGAAACCCATTCTGTAAGACACGAGAAAACAAAGAAAGAGGTTGTTTTTGTTTAATGCACTGACGTTACATATTTGATCCAATCATGGATTAACTGACTGTGGTTCCAACATTACACACTGAGAATCATCACCTTAACGTCATTAAGTGCATTTCAAACGGTACTTTGGACTGAACGGTTACATTCCCGCTGACACTCACAGCGATGCGTTCAGCAGTGTCACGTAGCTGCACTCCAGGTATTTAGTAAAAGCTTCACAGTTTTCTGTAAGGACACATTTACATGTGATTTACATACGCGTTTACTCACACGAGGTTCACAGCCACCCCCACAGCTGCAGTGATGAGCATGACATCTCCATCGATGTCGAACTCCTGGTGCACCGTCCTCTGAACCGCCTCATAGAGCAGCACGGCCGTCAGAATGTAGATGAGCACCACACTGAGGACCGCCGATACCACCTCTAGGTCAGGAAATCACAATCAGTTGAGGGTACAAAGCATATTCAACAGAATAATGTTGAAATAATTAGATTTTCTATGTGTTTTCCATGAATGGAAAATTGGTCAACTGTGTTCCAGGTTTACCAGATCGCGTGGGAACCTGGAAATGTATCCAAATCTGTTCAAATGTAACAATTACTCTCCATGCTTTAAGGTATTCACGTTTCTCCCTTTATATGGATATGAACTAGAATCGTACAATCACTTGTTTAGCCTCAAGCAGTATGGAGATGCCTCTCAGTCTCTATGCTACATGCTGTTTCTAATCAATGATATTTAGTATTAATGGCTCCTGCAGGGATCCAGTGTGTACGCTGTCCTGTTCTCAATTTATATAAATGATATATTCACTTTGTTGTGTGACTGTCGAATTCAACTTAAGTTGACAACACTGTTTTATAATCCACCGAGAAATGATTCCACTTTAAAAACCCTGAACGACGCCTTTATTTATCTCAATTTAGTCCTTGATAATAATAAAAAAACAAATGCTTTTCTCTGGATCCAGAGATATAAATCACTATAACTGACAGAGAACACTTTCACTCTGACTGCGTTTAATCGTGAGAGGATCACAGAATAGAATTCAAACCCTGGTGGTAAAGTACAATAGAAGCTGTGCTTTTCATGCAGTGACAGAAGCAGCTTCCGTCTCACTTCCTGTTATAGAGAGGCTGCCTCCAGTCTGAGGCCTCTAGATCCCTGACAGGTGACGTTTATACGACAAATTTGGTTGCAGCCATTTATTTATTTACAAAGCCCTTGTTGGACAGTTTCCATTATATAACTCATATTTGCTACTCTCGCACATTCTTAACTGGTCAATACTTCAGGAACAGCGGGATCGAGCAAAGACTGCTTTCACTGTTAGTGAAGCGGCCTCATGAAATAATCTGCCATGTCATCTAAAATTGAAAACCGATGCACCTCTCTGTAACTTCAAGACCACTGAATAAACTGTCCGCTGCAGCACCTGGATATGAAGTGTTTAATTGAGCCTGTAGCTGGTTTATTGTCTATTATTCTGTTTTATTAATTATTCTGTCTCTGTTCCAGTTTTTTTTTTCTCATTATAGCCGTTGACTAACCTGTTCTATTTAAATAAGGATTAATTAACTTCTTTAATTTTGCTTCAGGCCGTTGTATGACAGTCGGCTTCAAAAGGATCGAACTGCTATAGAAAAGTGCTGAACAAACAAGTTTGACAATCTTATATGCTAAATTAAATACATTAATAAATGTTACTTTTTTTCTACATTTGAGTTGATGTAATTGGTGTTTATCTCCAGGAGTTCTACATCTCTATTTAAAATGTAATCTAAAGTATCCAATCAGGAACCTGATCCGGCTTGAACACTGCTGAACACTATTAATCTGCATCAAATCCTCCAGCATGACGCTGTCTCACAGAGAGGGAGTGGAGAGAAATGAGAAGTGGGAAAATGAAGTGGAAAGGCTTGTGAGATTTACCGAGGCGATGCAGGCCGAAGGTGAATCGGCTTGTGGGGGGCTTGGTGGAGAGCCAGAGGGCCAGCAGAGAAAACAAGATTCCCACCACGTCTGTCAGCATGTGCACAGCGTCCGTCATGATGGCTAAGCTGTTTGACATGTAACCACCTGAAAGTACGACAGAGACAATCGAGATTACATCTAACGAGATCCATCTGGGCGATTCGTGCAGGAAGAGATTTTGAGATATTGAAAACACAAGTTTGGATGCGTGTTAGCTCCATGCAGATACACATCGTCAGAAAAGTTCATGGTTGGATTTCTAGCTTTGCTGTGAACCGACAGGTACTCTTTGGAGCCACAGGTACATTTCATCTACAGTGCATCCAGAAAGTATTCACAGCGCTTCACTTTTTCCACATTTTGTTATGTTACAGCCTTATTCCAAAATGGATTAAATTCATTATTTTCCTCAACATTCTATACACATCAACCCATAATGACAAAGTGAAAACTGTTTTTTGCAAATTTTTGCAAATCTATTAAAAATAAAGAACGAAAACATAACATGTACATAAGTATTCACAGCCTTTGCCATGACACTCAAAATGTAGCTCAGGTGCATCCTGTTTCCACTGATCATCCTTGAGATGTTTCTACAACTTGATTGGAGTCGACTTGTGCTAAATTCAGTTGATTGGACATGATTTAGAAAGGCACACACCTGTCTATATAAGGTACCACAGTTGACGGTGCATATCAGAGCATAAACCAAGCCATGAAGTCCAAGGAATTATCTGTCGACCTCCGAGACAGAATTGTATCGAGGCACAGATCTGGCGAAGGGTACAGAAAAATTTCTGCAGCATTGAAAGTCCCAATGAGCACAGTGGCCTCCATCATCCGGAAATGGAAGAAGTTTGGAACCACCAGGACTCTTCCTAGAGTTGGCCGCCCAGCCAGACTGAGCGATCGGGGGAGAAGGGCCTTAGTCAGGGAGGTGACCAGGAACCCGATGGTCACTCTGACAGAGCTCCAGTGTTGTTCTATGAAGAGAGGAGAACCTTCCAGAAGGACAACCATCTCTGCAGCACTCCACAAATCAGGCCTGTTTGGTAGAGTGGCCAGACGGAGGCCACTCCTCAGTAAAAGCACATGACAGCCCGCCTGGAGTTTGCAAAAAGGCACCTGAAGGACTCTCAGACCATGAGAAACAAAATTCTCTGGTCTGATGAAACAAAGATTGAACTCTTTGGCCTGAATGCCAAGCGTCATGTCTGGAGGAAACCAGGCACTGCTCATCACCTGGCCAATACCATCCCTACAGTGAAGCATGGTGGTGGCAGCATCATGCTGTGGGGATGTTTTTCAGCGGGAGGAACTGGGAGACTAGTCAGGATTGAGGGAAAGATGAATGCAGCAATGTACAGAGACATCCTCGATGAAAACATGCTCCACAGCGCTCTGGACCTCAGACTGGGGCGACGGTTCATCTTCCAACAGGACAACGACCCGAAGCACATAGCAAAGATAACAAAGGAGTGGCTTCGGGACAACTCTGTGAATGTCCTCGAGTGGCCCAGCCAGAGCCCTGACTTGAACCCGATTGAACATCTCTGGAGAGATCTGAAAATGGCTGTGCACCGACGCTCCCCATCCAACGTGATGGAACTTGAGAGGTTCTGCAAAGAAGAATGGGAGAAACTGCCCAGAAATAGGTGTGCCAAGCTTGTGGAATCATACCCAAGAAGACTTGAGGCTGTAATTGCTGCCAAAGGTGCTTCAACAAAGTATTGAGCAAAGGCTGTGAATACTTATGTACATGTTATGTTTTCGTTCTTTATTTTTAATAGATTTGCAAAAAACAGTTTTCACTTTGTCATTATGGGTTGATGTGTATAGAATGTTGAGGAAAATAATGAATTTAATCCATTTTGGAATAAGGCTGTAACATAACAAAATGTGGAAAAAGTGAAGCGCTGTGAATACTTTCCGGATGCACTGTATTTTGGGATGAATCACTTGGTAGATAATGATTGAACCAGTATCAGCAAAAACATAAGAAACAAGCTATGTTACAGTCATCACTTTTTCTTATTAGAAAACAGTGACTCATTGAGAAAACAAAAGCCCTCTATCTAGTGCGTTGGGTTGCAAAACAGGAAACATCGAGCACATGTTAACCTTGTGTTCAACCCTTCAACAACCCTTAAGTATTTTATAAAGATCAATCAATAATATAGGAGATTATTCAGCACAAGCCAGTCAGCAGAACATGCTTTTAGAGTTCCTACAGCAGAGCTTGAAATGACTGTTGGACATAAAATTGATGATAGGAGCCTGGCTGCTTTACACACAGGAAATGCAGACACTGTGATCTTGATCTTGAGCTGGGAGATACAGGAAGTAACGGTACCGGTTACGGTCCCTGATTGACTGTTAATGAGTGACAGGAACAATCAATGTTTCACCCAGTTTGATGATAGATTTGGCTTTACTCAGTTGTGTTCATCTAAACAGACAAACATGTCCACCTCTGTGTGTCAGGTAGCTCATAAACTTCCCTATTATAACTCCCTGACTAATAAAATATGTATGGTTTCTCTCTGAACATGCTTACCAACAATTTCCGCTGTCATGAAAAGGAAATAGAGCAAAGCTGCAAAGACGAGCCTCTTCATCACCCGCTTGTGTTTGATCCTCTCCCTCTTCCTGGTGCAGCTGTCACAGGGGTCCATGTTTAACCCCGGGCTGGAAGAAGAGGAGTCCAGCAGGCAGTCATCGTCGTCCGCCACCGCCAGCGTGCTCACCGCCAGCACCCCGTTGGACGGAGCTCCTCCGGCAGAGTAGTCCGACATCTCCCCGGAGACCACCACCTTCAGTTTGTTGAATTTGGGCGCCTCATCGTCCACCAGCTCGTCGGCGAAGTCAAAGGGCGCCGTGTCGCTCAGGTCCCAGTCGGTCCGCTCTCTCCTGAAGGCGGACCGCACCTTGCTGAAGAGGTTCCCACCTGACATCTTTAATAAATTTGGTATATCAAGGTGGTTTCTCTTGTCTGTAGGTTACTGCCCTTCGAGGTAATCATAGGATGAAATACTGCATTTTAACTCCATCTTAGCACCCTGAGGATACAAAAAGAAATTAAAGTGATACCAGAACACAAGAGATAGCTAAACAACTCAAGAGCCCAACAGACCTTTTTATGTCAAGTTGATGACTTGATATGTTCAAGATAACCAGCGTCACGTCCTCGAGTCACTCACATTCCCTCACATGCGCTGATAAAGTCCTACAAAACTGCCTCGGCTAAACAGTAACAAGCTAGCTGGTCCAGGTTAGCTACATTTAAATCTGTCATAATGTGAGCTCGCGACACACAGACAACCCTTGTAACGTGGTAGCTTGTTAAGAAATATGACCCGGGACTTACCTAATAGATGTACTTTACGGTCGTACTCCCTTCAGATGTCTTTAGGCTAAAAACTGTCATGGTAATACTGGTGTAAACATCACAGTTGTGCATCCGCACTCGGAAGCAACAACACTAACAAGTTCGGTTGCGCTCGCAGTCACGTGATGACGCGGGACTCACATGACGTTTTTTCTTTGCAGCAGCATTAACTCATCCAAAACATCTTTTCCGTTGTGCTCTCCTGGTTCTGGTTAGAAGTACCTAAACTCTGCACACCTACAGTTATAAACAGACAGTCAAACAGGTAAGAAGGTGACATATTTACTGTGTTTATGGTTTACGATGTCAGTTACACGTTATGGAGCAGCTCAACGAGCTAGCTAAAATACTTCCTCAACGGTTAGTTGCTCGATGTTGTGATAAGCTATAACTGATCATTTCCATCCGATATAATCTGTTTACTTTATTGGCGCCTCTCTTTCATGTCATAAAGGCAGTCTGGTTGAACAAGAGTCGTTGCATATGGAGGTAGAGGAGATGGAAGATGAAGGACCTTCGCTCCAGAGTGATCCTCCACACTGTGAAGGTGTGTGTGTGTGGGGGGGGGTGTGTGCGCGCGCTTAACCTGCTCTCTGCTGTCTACATCTGAACATATGTGGTGACCAGGCTGCATGAACTTCAGTGTAGATTAGCTGACTGATCCAGCATTAGTTTGTGCCTGTCATGGGGCAGCTCGTGCATCCTCATTCACTTGTGAGAGACCACTACAGACGTGTTTGGGGTCCAAGGAAGGGGCCTTGAGCATCAAGACAATGTTTAGAGTCAAAGCTTTGTCATGCAGTTTGTTTTATGTATCTATTTCACTTTTAGTATAAAGTAGGTTGGCTGGGCATTCAAATCTGAGTGGCAGAGGTTAAGATATGTCAGCATTCAGTACCTTCTGCAAGCCAAGCTTCAAAAAACACTTCACTTCCCACAATGCAAGTCAAAAACATCTTTGTGTTTATGCCGTGTTCATGTCATATTTTAATTAGTCATTTCAATTTCCAGTTCTTGAATTGTAAAAAGCGTTCATGCCAACATCCAAGTCGTGATTATGACTAGGAATTTAGGACTTTATCCTGAAAGCTCTGATATGTTTGACTTTGCACTCAGTAACACATCAAATGCAGCATACCTGAAAACCAAACAAACATGGATTCCTCACATTAACCAAAGTATGTTTTTTAAGGTCATTTTAATTTATAAATGCCCACGTGTTTCCACTTCACACCCCGAGTTTGTAACGCAAGCTTTTAGTTAATGAATTATCCAAGCCCGAGTCAAGAGACCCTTGAGGATTTCCTCATGGTTATTTTCACAGACTTTAGAAAGCTCCTCCAGAGCCACATAGAATATCATCAAACTGTTTGCACAAGCTGAGTAGTACAGTAAACTCACCTTTATGGCTTCATGGAGTCATTAAAAAATAGACTAACAGACAATAAAAAAGTTACAGGTGCAGTCACAGAGGTAGAGGATGGTTATTGTGAAGAACTGTGAAATTAGAAAGAGGAATACTCATTTAGACTTTTCATTTTTGTGACGGGATTCCTGAAGGTTAGTTTAGAGTTTCAAAGCAGCAACAGTGAGATACAGATGAGATATACGATGGTAATAATACTCCAGGGCATTGTTTCACACAATCCAATAATACAATTATTATACAAGCATTGTATTTGGTAAAAGATTTTTACATTACAGGCATTTAGCAGACGCTTTTATCCAAAGCGACTTACAATTCAGATTCTATCACATTTCTACAGCGTAGGCACAACTACGGGAGCAATTTTGGGGTTAAGTGTCTCGCTCAAGGACACATCGACATGCGACTAGCAGAGCCGGAGCCGGGGATTGAACCGCCAACCCTCTGATTGAAAGATGGCCCTGCTATCCACTTAGCCACAGTCGCCCAGGAACTGGAGATAAATGAAATCGGGGATGGACTGCACACTGTCTTCAGTACAGTGACCGACACCAGATCACTTTAAACAATGTAATCTTACATCTCAAGTGTCGGCAGTCAGAATACAAAAAGGTGAAAGGTCAGAGTTCATCAGAAAACCAGACTTGTGTGACACAATCAGGGCTTCCTCCTCCTAGTAATCTGATGTTTTGTTCTTAGTCGACTAAGATTTCTGAAGTCGATTAGCTGTTTTTAATGATTTTGTCTCTGGTTTACACAATATTAGAATGTGTGATACTTTGTGGAGAAACTCTCTGTTGATTAAGTCAACTAATCTATTAGTCGACTTAGAATCTCTTTGGTCGAGGATACTAAATACTTTGTACGTATTCTCTTAAACATTTGACAGATCTCCAGCTGGAACTTCATCACTCATTGCGTCTGGAGAGCCCAGCGCCCGTAGAGAGCGTGTTCGTGGATAAGAAAGCGGTGGACAAACTCACAGAGGGATTACTCTCTCACTACCTACCGGATCTACAGAACTCTAAAGGAGCCCTCCAAGAGCTCACGTGAGTGTTTCATGACACTCAACAACTTCTTAAATACTCTTTCCATCACTATTATGTCACCACAGATGTCAAATAACCGCTGTCCCATGCTGTCTACTTGTGGGGGAAAACTTTAAAAGGGTCAGGTTGATTGGGCCACATCAGGAACAAGTAAATATGAGCCATGCTTGAATTGTACTTTGATGAAAGATATTAATCAAGTGTTGGCTCATATAGATGTTGATCAGATGAGCGAGGGGACTGTGCAGCTTCCTCTCAGTAAACATATTTCACTCAAGGAAATTGTAGGCGAGAAAACATGTTAATTAAGTTACAATAATAAATATTCTCTCATTGTGTCATGTCTTCTCCTTTATTTTTGTGTCAACCAGACAAAATCAGCTGATATTGTTAGACACACTGGACCAAGAGGTCACCAAGTTCAGAGACTGTAACACCTTACTGGACCTCAATTCTCTGGTACGTTTGGACTGAATTCTAATCTCATTTGTGCTCATTTTGCTCTCTCTACACCAGCCAACAGCAACGGTTTCTAACCCAGTGTGTCGTCTTTAGTTTACAGAGGCGAAGGTTTATCACAATAAACTGGTGAACATAAGGAAAGAGATGATTATGCTCCACGAAAAGACAACTAAACTAAAGGTACCTCGGATTTAAGAAGTGTTTTGCCGGCATAACTTCAGGCAAAGGAGCAACGTTTGGCGGGTGAGATGCAAACTGAACCATTAATACACCGATTCAAATGTTTACTTTTGTTTTCTCTCAGAAAAGAGCGTTGAAGCTTCAGCAACAGAAGCAGAAGGAGGCGCTGGAGAAGGAGCAGCAGCGCGAGAAGGAGCTCGAGAGAGAAAGGCAGCTTATTGCCAAACCTGCAAAAAGAACTTAGGATCCTTAAGTATGTCTGCTGTGTAAATGGATCATACAGGTGCTTTTGCACGTCTCAGCCTATTTATTACATATCAACTGTACGTGACATTACTGCCGACTGTTTTCCAAAGCAAAAGTATTTTAGATTTGGGGTTTTCTTTTGCACATTTTTGGGGCAAGAGAATCAGACGCAGAGAGAGGAGGAGATGAGATACAGATAAGATTTCCAGGCAGCTTTAGTTTCAACTCATTTTGGGATCGTATTAAAATCTACTTGAAACTGGATTGATGCACTTAATCCATCACGCTGAATATTACGAAGTAGACATGATTTTTACAATGCTTTATTGCATATTATCTCAAGCAGGTTTTATTTTTCTTCCATTTTTCTTGGAATTATTAGGAATCAACTTGGCTCCATCTATTTGCCACCGACTGAAATACTTTAAAAAATAAAAATACGTCTCTATACGTAGAGGTAACAAGCTTATTTTAATTGAAAGTGTGGAACTGTCTTTGCTGAAAGAAATGGATTTAAAATAATTCCAGTCCAGAATCTTTAAGACTAATAAGAGTAGAGTAATGTGCTTTGGGAAATGGTCCACTTAATCGACAGTATATGTGATTTTTAGTAAATGGGCCAAAACGTGCAAATATTCTGGTGTGATCCTTTATGTCGGACATTGGCCAAAAAAACCAAAGACATGGACTAAATCATCAAATGCTGGTACTTCCCACGATCAACCTCTGATGAGACACAGACTCCAGATCTTCCCTGAGAGTGGAACAAATTACTCAAAGACACTTTTGCAGCCGTCGGACAATGACAAGGAGGAGAATCAATGGGTTTGCTGTTAGATGAAGTGTTAATATATGTGATTCCTGTTGGTGTTGAATGTTATATAACAGATATCTTATTTAAATTGGTCTGCACTAAATTCAACTGAATGTGTTTCTGGGGTTCAGGTGATATGAGAGTGGATGACAATGTGCACCAAACTTTGCCCCTCGTCATACACAGCATCTGTAAATCTGTTTAGCAGATCTTTTCGAGAGGCTTCTATGCACTACTCCCGCCTGGAACTTTGTTTGTTTGTACGATTAATAATAAAGGCAACACAAACTGGTTTTAGTATGTGTGAGGATGAGTACCTGCTGTAGGGCTGTTTGTCACAGATGCACACATTTGTAATGTAAAATGGGTTCTGAAGTGTGTGTGTGCACGTGTAGGAGAGTCACGTCGTCATGTCTATGCTGTGCGTTCCAATACTCATACTACCATACTATTTAGTATTCCAGAAAAAGATTAAGTATTTACCAGTACATAGTATGTCAAATGTATGGAAGCCCATTCCCTGCACCAAAACTAAAAAGAAAAAAAAAGATTAAAGTATTTTTTTTTTTTTTGTCTTTTGGGGTGGATTTTTTTATTTTTTGGTGGCGGGGATGGGCTTCCATACAATGCAGTTCGCCAAATATACTAAGACGTTACAGTACACCTGTTTGCATTTTTGCAGTAAGCAAGCCAGCCTACTTTTTTGGCTAATCTGACCCACAATCCTTTGTGTCAGCAGATCTATGAGCAAGAGGGTCAAAGTCTAAGGTGCATGTATGTCCCAATTGTATACTGCATGCTACAGTACATACTTTGTAAGGGGAGCTGCAGTATGTTCTAAAAGTAAGGCCTCTTGTGCACATTGATGGACTACGTGAACTCTGTTAAGCATCTCAGTCCACCAGGTGTCAGCAGAGACCAGAAATAAATTCACCGGATCTTAATCTGTGGTGGGCAAAGGTGCTCCATGGAAGGCTGAATTTCTGCAGGTTTTTATTTTATTTCACTGCTTAAACATTTCTGCACCAGCTGATGTTACTGATTAGCACACCTACCAACCAGAGAGAAATATCTGATGTGAGTTCATCCTGTGTGTTGTTGGGTTTTAATGAGCACCTGCAGAGTCTCTGTCCACAAACATTTAGGATGTAAACTAGTACTTCACAAACCTCACTCTCTGCTGTTCTATCATATGTTTCTAATCAGGGCCAGATTACCTGACCACCTTGGGCGCCACAGTGAATGTAGTTGAAGAACGGAGCAGCAGGACTGACTCTTGTGCCATGTTGGTTCCCAAATCAGCCTCAGCTTTTCCTTCATGAAGCTTGAATTGTCACTGAGTTGGTAAACAGTAGACAGATGTTTTCAACCACCTTTGTCTCTTTTCACACACATTTTTGTCACCATCATCACATACTAGCCACAAACGCGTTTGTTGACAGAAAAGTAGGTCACATTCCTCTCTATCCCGACACAATCATGCGTCTGTCACTCCCCCTGCTATTCACATAAAACTCTAATTTTATACTCACTACTACAGCAGGAAACTCAGTCCAAACCAACATGGCTTGGCGCACCCTCCGCCTGGCTCTTCTTGGAGCGGAAACTGCACCACAGTGTGGCCACGAAGGGGTCCAGACTCAGGAGAGGGGCCACCTGATGAAAGTGAGTCCGTGCAGTGGAAACCACACTTTGAATATAGTTTTCAGTACCTTGACTTTGGGTTTTGTTTGACAGTTTCTTCTGTGTATGTGTAAACACTGTGGTTCCATATATGAATGCCTTATGCAACACTGATTGTTGTTGTTTTTATGAAACTGGGTCAGTGTGATGTGCAGACCAGAAAAAGGATAGAGGTTGTGCTTGGGTCTGTCATGTATGGCGGTTGGTCAGCGGCTCATTGGAGGTAAAAATATTCCAAAAGACAAAAAGAGAAATCTTGCTGGTGTAATATTATTGAATCAGTTATTAAGTCAAAATTATCTTTTGGGTTATTATAGCACTTTTAATGTATTTTTTTTTTTTTTTTTACCAGAAACTAGCATTAAATGAGCAGATTCCCTTTCATCGCTGTATTGTGACGGTTAGGTGATTTAAATTTGTGAATGACAAATAAAGTTCTGCTTCAGGTCCCATGCAGAAAGACTTTTGCTGGGGGGGAAAATAAAAAAACAATTAATTAAATAATTTTTACAAAGCCAATGTGAAAACTACATCTGGCCATTAACCAGTGATCCAGTGAATATTTAAAAATCTGAGAAAGAAATAATCGTCATGCGTTATTAATCATTCTTTTATTTATTCAATTTGAAGGAAAAGTGAAAATAATTGGGGTGATTTATTGGCAAAAATTGATTATAATATTCATAACTATGTTTTCAAGTGTATAATGACCTAAAACTAAGAATCGTTGTTTTTTTACCTTAGAATTAATTTCTATCTGCATAAAGAGTCCGCTATATGTTGCACCGCCATGTTTCTACAGCAGCCCAGAACAGACAAACCAAACACTGGCTCTAGTGAAACACTTTTGCAGTTTTACGTTACCGGAAGGCCTCTGAACTTCTCCGACAGGCTTGGAAAGAGAGAAGTGAGCGAAGTTTACAATCTCGGTTGCAATCTGCAACCTCACCACTAGATGCCACTAAATCCTACACAGTGCGCCGATAAAATGACTTTTACTCCAACAGACCACATCATTCAGTGTTGTGAGTTTTCACACTTTGTAATATTTTACCAACTGAATGTCTGCCAGGATCTGCTCATGATTAGTTCATCCTAATTGAATAGGGCTCTGTTTTTCCAGGAGGAGTGGGCGTACGAGGCCTCAGAGGTAGACGGCTCAGAGACGCAGTGGTTTCCGAGGCTGGGCTCTCTACTCCTCCAAGCATTTGGTTTTTACTTGTCTCTACTTTTAGAAACTTGGCCGTCGGGGAAAACACAAACCCCCTCTTTTCGCCAAAACCACAAGCGAGTCACAGACATGGAGCAGCAGCAGATGATGATGTTGTATAGCGGACGGCCTTCCTGTCTAAGTAAACAGAGATCCAGACGGGTGAGGAGTGGGAGGCTGCGGTCTGCTTCAGACAGGCAGTACCAGGCCTCACCCAGACCCAACATAACAGGATATGGTCCTCGGGCCCACACTGAGGATGATTGCATCATGTTATTATTTCCCTCAGGTTTTACCATTTGGTTGGCGTGGTAGTTGGCTATTCATGCACGCCTTGTACCGCGTGAAGAGCTGGTTTGAAGGCTCTGGAAAACATATCTCTTTGTGGTGTTTCTGACCAAAGTAACAGTGAATGAGGTTACTTTCCCATCTCAAGCAGGTCTTATATAACTACATACGTAGGTCTGGCTAAGAGGGCATGGAGAACATTAGTAATTAGGTTTCTGTGACTCAACAGATGGTACGCAGGAGCTATTTAAGCATATGTGTGTACTATGTAACCACCACTACTTTTCAAAACAATAATTTTCGATGCATTTAGATATGATAGGAAGTAATACATTAACCCAAGTACAGTTTTGAGATATTTTTCACCCAGTGTTTTTACGCTATGTTTACTCCACTTCATTTCAGAAGCAGATATTCTTCATCTTACTCTGACTTCATCTGACAGTTATACGTATATTGGTGCTTTGCAAACAAAACACATGATCAACTTAAAATAATAAATAAACTAAATAATATAGCATATACTGTTGTAGAATAACACAACCTGACGATGAATAAATAGCTCCATCTTAACATGGAGCTAGTTTATACACATTTAGGTTTTTTTTTACTCCAGAGGGGTGCAGCCACCTTTAACTGGTCACATGATACACCTGAGGGGTTGTGGGATAAATAATTGGAGAGAAAAAAAGTCAGTATCATTTGTTTTTTTTACCTTTCCCTGTTTCCTTTTTATGTTTGAAATATCTTAATTCGATGATAATTATATCTCTTTGAACTTCAACTATAGATCCCCTGGTTCCATCTTAAATAACATATTGCATTTTAAGTTTGTCATATGTTGTTTTATGTCCGATCTTAATTTGGAAAATAACTATCAACCTCAGCTGTAACAATATTTCACTCTGAAATGTGGCATAATACTATAACGTGGCTGAACATGGAAATACACGACTACTTTAATAGCAACAGTATACTTGCACTGTGATTCAAGGAGGGCCTCAAGTTTGTTTATTGTGCTTTTGTGTATTCGTACGTAACAAAATAGTAAAAAGTATATCATAAAGTAAGACCCACCTTTCAGCCCTTATGTCAGATAGTATGTCAGTCAGTGTTGCATATTCAAACACATTTTCAATCAAATCAAACTGACACAGTGAGCCTGCAGCTTCCAGAGCTCCTGGAGTTCGAAATTGATTTTTATATATTAATATTAATGGCTCAGTAGTAATAATACATAGAATGGAATACAGCCTTTGTAAACACAAAGTGTGTACTCTCAGAACAGTGACCTTAGGATGCTTACGTAACTTTATTTAAGTAAAAAACGTGAATGCCCTTGACTGGATATTTTTAAATTAAAGTAAAGGATCCAAATAATTCTTCCACCACCTCTGTGCTGCAGCAACAGCAGTGAAGTGTGTACAATGTAAGTGTCTAATGCCACGTATGGGTTACAGAAGGCTCTTGTTGTGTCTGCACTGCGGTCAGGACAGTTCCACTCTGCGTAAACACAGACAGAGCCAGTGACCCACAGTAGGTGAAAGGCTGGTGCTCAGGTGCTCAGGTGCTGAGCACCTGAGCACCCACAGGTGCTCAGCAGGTGCTCAGCAACACGGCCGTGTCGGCTTTAGAGCGCCACATTTTCAAAAACAAGTCCACACAACATCCCCAATCGTCACAAGAGGTTGTATGGCACCCATGGCTGGTTTCATGGGCTCCTCTTAGACTGTAGTAAAAGCAGTAAATATAGAAAACAAACTTGTTGGCTGAAGAGGAGGCTTTGAAGAGCAGCGTGGTTGTGGTGGAGGGAAAGGATGATTTGATTAAATGAGTGTGCTCTGTCCTTGTTGTTTTCTCTGGTCGGGTAATAGAAGAAAACAGGAGGACATATGTTAAAGGGCACATTGCAAAGCTGTGAGCGAGACAAAGAGATTCAGACAAGCGCCCACAGAGTCACAGTCACCTCTGCTACCAGGACGGTTAGTGGTTGCACGGCCGTGTCCTGTCTGACCTGTGTGAGGTGGAGAAGTGATAATCGAAACCTTAACTGTATGGAGTTAGAGGTCTGAAGCGAGGATTATAGTGTTGTTTATATGGTCTCTATTTGAGTCAACCACAGCAGACTGTTGCTTCCTCCTGCATTTTTGGATGCACTAAGGAGAGGTGTGAGTCGGGTGCAGCGCAGACACCCATGCAGACAGACAGACACACACATACACAAACAAGAGCCAGTAAGAGCCAGTTCTGCAGCCCTCATGCCAGTGTGGTGGTCGGAGCGGTTTAGAAAACTGCAGGGTTCGTGGTAGTCCAGAGGCTACGGGTGTCAGGAGACGATGTCCTCGATCACCACCGTGCCATTCAATCATGAAGTATTGTATCTGGGGACAATAAGTTCACAGTAACCTTGTTTACGTAAACTAGGACCCACTTTATTGAAAAAGTGCTATTTTACCTTTAACATCTTGAGTCATTCCCTGGTAAGACAAGGTGAAGTATCTAAGTAGAGTAGAACAGATGCAGCCATAATCTGTTTTTCAGGGGAGGCCAGGCCAGCAGCTAGTCGAGGTTACATAACGTCTTATCTCTCACATTCACGTCCGACCATGCTTGCACACGTTGTGAAGTAACACCCATCTTAAAATGAGTTAGCTACCCTTTAAGTAAATTAACACCATCTCCAAATGATTTCTGCCACAGACATTAAGCATATTATGAGTTGCTGTTAAAATGTCTGGGCACATAAGGACGTCAGCTCACATAATACCCGCTTTTGCACACTCAAAAAACTGATATATCTGTTTGTGACCTGGGAAAAATGAACACAACGGGAAACTTTGACTTGAAAAGTTTGATCCAAGATAAAACCAGTGTTGTTAACAAATGGGATGAAGTATTTTAGTGTTTGTCCTGCTTGAAACTAAAGTAGGCTGCAGTAAATTCCCAAGATGACGAGGATCGTAATAGGATCCCCCACTCACTATCTCTCTCTCTCTCTCTCTCTCCCCTTGATACACTGGTGGTCTAAAGTATGCAAACTCAATCCATACAACAAGCCTTGACCTGTTACATCGAACCCAGGCCTTACAGTTTGATAGCTGATGGATATGTCTACTAGATGTGGACTAGATGTGGACATTGGCAACAGAACTGCATGAATGTGACAATGAAGCCTCAATTATAAACTGTAACTAAATAACTAAAAAAGTGCTTTGAAGAAACACTTTTTTCAGCTGACTGCATGTCTGCGTGTGTGTGTGTGTGTCCATGCTGTTGCTGCAGAGACACCGATGTGTCAACAATCACGCAGTCTGTCTGGAACTAGAGAAAGCTGTACGAGCTGCTTTGTGCTCTGAATAATACAACACCTGCTCTTTTTGTCAGACCTCCATTTGTCCTGCATGCATGCAGTGTAATATCAACATGTGAGGATTGGTTTATTCTAGAATGACTCAGCAGAGGGAAAACAGTCTGTTAAATGGAAACAGATTTAAAGGTGTAACATGCAGGATTTAGAACATGAACAAAGCAGCTCTCCCTCTGTGTGTTGTTATGCAATCCTCTCCTTGCTTTGATTTCATAGCCGGGACGGCCATGCATATATTTAGTGCATGTTGTTTGCATGTGGGCGTGCCCCACTGGCTAGCTCACGGACGCTGCTCTGCTCTGCGCTCATATGGCAGTTAAAGCTGATGAAGTCGTCCTGACTGATGGCGTCGTTACGGAGGAGTAGCACCCACCTTGCGCATCCCTCTCAGGTAAACATGAGCATGTTAGCATCGTTAGCACCTTTAGCTACAAGATGTCCGGTCAGCGGTTGCCATGTTGAGAGCCATTGAGAGGCAATCAAAATGCTCCAAATTTCAAATATTGCACATTTATGATACAATACATCTGAAATGATTATGGTTTATTTTCAAAGGCAGTTAAGTTGAATGATTAAAAGAACAGTTGGATTGACTAAAACGAATACATAACATAGCAAGAACCGTCATGCAGGAGGGAAAAAACAGCTGCTCGTAAGTGGGTCAAGAGTTGTTCTTCCCCCCAACTTCCGTACTGCTCTGACCTCTGTACATACATGTCTATAGTAACATTACATAATGTGTGCTTTTAGAGGGAAGAACGGCCAGCATGAAAGTGATTTCCCTTCCTCAGAGGGGCCTGACACACCCATGACTTCTGTGGATGTTAGATTTAGACTTCACCAGCTGTATTTTTCCATTTCAGGAAAATAAAAGCTGTACTGGCACATATGCACAATAATAATGCATGTGCCTCGTGCATTAATAAAGCATTGCATAACTGCTCTAGTTGGTAAAGAGCTCTCTACTTATGCAAAGATGAAAAATGTGTCTTTAGCTTTAATAACTCCATATTGTGTATATACACAGATTAAATAGATAAGAATATACATATAAATAGTATATTTGTGGCTACAATAACACATTTACAGTAGCAGTGTTTGCAAACAAGAGTACCACAGCTTTAATGGAGAATCTGACTCAACGGTTGAGCTTATTTATTGCAGCTGGAGAGATCTTTTAAAATAAATTCCTTAACATATGAAACCACTGCTCTTAAGACATTCACTCAAAAAAAGAAATATTGGTCTGGAAGTGAAATTTATTTGTCCACCATCTTTTTCCCCACTTTGCACTAAGGGATGGTCTGCTACTTTCCATTCCAAAAGATCAGGACAGCTTGGTCTTGTTTAAAGCAAACAAACCAAGGTATACCAGGCTGTTATGGGTTTGTGGAATAAAAAAAATAAAAACCTGTTCATCACATACTGCATGTGACCAACACTGCCCAATGTCATTACCAACTGGCTGTACCTTATTAAATAAAATTTAAAAAAACACATGTAAAATCATGCATACACATCAACTTATTGATGTTATCTGCATCATTACAAAGGGCCCTTACTCTGTGAAACCAAGGTTCCTTTGACGTATAAGTTCTTAAGTAAACACTTCTAGAGAAATAGCCCAAGTGAGTCTGCATTTAGATAAGGGTTGTGCTCCAGACCTGAAGTCACGAGGTTCAGCCTTGTGACTCCTTATCACTCACACCAACTGTTGCCTGTGAGCGAGATAGTGAAAGCCGTCTGCTCACTGAGCTCAACTTAGCAGCTACAAGTGTTGAAGTAGGGACTATATTTTTAAAACATTTACAAATTTGGACTTTACCTGCAAAGACTCAATTCTTTATTGCTTTTTTTTTTGGGGGGGGGGGGGGGGGGGGTTCCACTTTGTACTACCTTCAGAGTAAGAGCTTATCATTCCCCTTAAAATAACCAGAAGAGCACAGAGTTAGCAGGAGGAGTATTTATTGACATAGAAGTGCAACTGTCCTCTGAACATATCCATCAACTCTCTTTTGACCGTGGGCTGTAACAAAGCAATAAATATGGTTGGTATAAAAACATGCCAGCATTTAATGCCATCAGCTAAACATTTACAAAAAATCAGAGCAGTCAGCTAAATGAGCTGCCAGGTAGAAACTTAAGGCAAGGCGGTGTTCTGCTTGCAGGCGGATTACATGCTCCTTTTAGCCGATCGTATGACCTGCAATACAGAAAGAAAAAAAAAACAAACACGTCAGAATCTCACATTTGGACACAAAGATTATGTTACAGTGAAGTCTGATGATCAAGTTACCTTTGTTTGTTAAAAAGACTTCTGGATGTTATTCAGGATGTTGCCGTAGACAAAGTTGAACAGTTGTTCCTTTGACTTGGTTCCATCTAGCTGCACTGTAATAGCAAACACATTTAAAAGCAATAGGATAAACTTTGTCTGTAAATGACAAAGTAGTGATTATTCCAAAAATGCACTAACTTACAGACGTCAACATCTGATGACTCCATGATGTTCTTGTGTTTCAAATACATGGGCCAGACATGGCCATCGAATAGGCCGGGGGGGTCTGGCACCGTGTAGTTCCTAGAGCTGCAGAGAGACACACAACAACAATTACAGAACGGTAATAAAGACAGCAGACCAGACTATAAACACCAGTTAAGAACAGCGTCTGAACACTGAGGCACTTACCACCTCCTCTTTTTGCATTCTTCATGTGGGATGGAAATAAAGTAACATTGGTTGAGCACATCGATCAAAGGTCTGCGAGGGAAGAGACAAATTAATGTCAAGGCTGGCTGGTTGCATTCCTTTTACAGTGAGAAACACTCAACGGTGACGTAAAGAGCACACGTTTTTACCTGTAGGTGTAAAGCAAAAAGCCCTCCACAATAAGGATGTGAGACTCCTCCTCATCCTTATCGTCAGACTTTGGGACAATCTCAGTATCCAGGGTGTTATTGACGCCGTGAGACTTCTCAAACTTCACCGGGTTGTCCAGCCATGCATAGATGGTACTCATCATGGCGTTCATGTCCAGGGCAGCAAGGACTGAAAAGCAAAAGGCGGGGAGAGAGGATGGAGGAAGAAATGTATAGAAAATTGCAAAGAAAAAAAATTGTCAGAAACAGTCTTCAACTTAGTCTATATTGTATGCAGATTAAAAATAGAACAAAGCGTCACAGCAACAGACGTACAAGACAAACGCACACAGACACACAAATCCATTCATAAAAACCCAGGCTTACCATCGTACTGCTTAAAGCCATCTTCACCAACTTCAATCTGATCTTGGGGCTGAAACATACATTGATAAGATGTACCACGGTACATTCCACTACAGCTACACTCTGCTATATGGAAGGCTCCGACAGTGTTTTTACTCACTCGGTCAAAACAGGTAAGTGTAAACACCCCACCGACTTGTTACTCAGAGTGATCCCTTTGGTTAACTTTACCCCACAATTCAAAGAGGTGTGTGTGCATGTGGCTCACCTTGAAGAAGTCATCCTGATGTACCACACAACAGTTGGGCAGGTTCTTGATCAACCTGTTGGTGAGGGTGGTTTTCCCTCCATTGGTTACACTGAATGAAACAAAGCAATAAAGATAGAATGAATAGTTGACAATGGGAGCCATTGTCATCTGATAACCTGACAGATTAATGATTAACGTTTGACCATCACCGTAGACATTGAATCTGGCACATCCATTTTAGGAAGTGCAGTTATAGCCTACATTCAACATGGCAGCTAATGCATGTTAAATATATGCAATTACACATTAGATACATTTTTAGTTATTTCCACAATAAAACAAACTGTTTTTTACCATAAAAAGCCATGCAGAGCAGTTTGTAGCATGCGACCACAAAATGTACACTTTAAATAGATTTTAGGTGTCGTTATCTAACGTCACATGTAAAAATGGGTGTTTTAACGGAACAAATGGCGGATTTGGTCATCTCTATTACATGTCAGGAACAGTTAGCTTTAGCTCTATTTATTGACAGGCATTGCTAGAAAGGATTAGCGTTGAGGGTCTAACGTTACAGAAATGAGCGCCCTCTCTCCACGTGTGCCGGGCTTCCAACACCTAGCAGCTTAGCTTAGCCTGATAGCTTAGCTAGCTTCATTCATTCAACTCACCCGCCGATGCCGATGATGTACTTCATGATTTCGGATGGTCAAAGCTCGTTACAAAAAAAGTGTCATTTGAGAGTTCAAAACGTCAGTAAACCGGTTCAGGACCACAGTGATCAGACGGGAAGAAAGCTTAAAAAGAGAAGGTTACAGGAAACGTCAACTACTTGATTCCTCCATGGCACTTAAGTTAAGTGAGTAAGGCGAGAGCAGAGACGAGACGAGGTGTCACCCGGACGCGGTGTTCCACCGAGAGAGGGCCGTTAAGCTCGTTGTAGCTACATAATGAGGAGAGGCGACGTGATTGGCTTTAAACAACCTTCGACCCGCACAGAAAGCCCACAACAGCCAATCAGGAGCGAGTGTTACTGTAGCCCCACCCCCTTCCTCCCTACGCCCACTTCACACCTTCTAACCTAAAACCCCATGATGTAGTCTGTTTGCTTTTATACAATAAGTGAAAAATAAAAGTGCAAAAAAACAAAAGTAGAAAGTGGTACTCCGATGTACCACTAAAGTAAAAGTAGTAATACCACAGTGTAGACATACTCTGTTAAAAGTAAAAGTTCTACATTCAAAATTATGCTTCAGTAAAAGTTCAAACGTATTTGCATAAACATATTCCTTAATATACCAAAAGCGAAATGCAAAATGGCTTATTTGAGAAAAATATGTATTACATTATTGCATTATAATTATTGATGCATTATTTTGGTCATCACTTTAATTTTGTAGCTGGTAAATTTGGAGTTATTTTTAATTACTCTACTGCTGGGTATTTAATCTATACTAATAATACAAAAATCATAATTTATTTATAGATTTTTGAAAAAAGTACAATGTTTGCCTCCAAAATGTAGTGGAGTAGAAGTATAAAGTGGAAATCCAAATACCTCAAAATTGTACTTAAAGTAGTTTCTGTTAAAAATACACTCTGGAGCAAAAAATCTTTACCCTTAACTTTGTGTCCTCTATAGTATTTTAAAATTGTGTTGGTGCCACCTCTACTTGAGTTTTACACATCACTGAATCTTTGATTGTTACCAAGACTAGAATAGATGACGAGACCGTTTTCCTCTTAAAATAGAATATCATCCGTACTCCACCTGGACATAAAATAAAATCACCATAAAGAAGAAAAACATGTTTGACACATGTTAATTGTAGGGCAACTTTGCATTGTGGGCGTGGTGCCAATGACCTGTCAGTGTTTCCCCCTTATTCATTTTCCATGTCAGCCTAGTTGCATTTATCAGTGTTATCAGCTGTACTCGCTTAACACCAATACACACAATGAAAGCAGCTCATATTGGTGTCAGAATCAGAGACACAAACAAAAAACAACTCTTGACACACTCACATTGCTGTGGTGTTTATTTCACCAGCCTGCAGCTGACCTCTCTCTGTTTAGTTTAGAAACTTCTCAACCAACTCCATGACACAGTTTTCTGAGGTTGCACCAAAATATTATTTATGTTGGGGTTTACACCTCGAGAACCTCAGTTATGAGGAGGAAGTCGCCGAGAGAAGTGGAATTCAGTTCAGTTTGTAAGATTTCTATTCATAGTTTGACTTCATTCTGCCAATTTGGAGGAGATTGTATTGGATTTCTTGAAGTTTATAACAATTTATTGCACAAAAGCTTTATAATCATGGTTTTAAACTGATATAATGTTTCAAGGTGGTCAAGCGGTGATGAATAAACTTTGAATAAATGAATAAATAGGCTTATTTTTAGTTGATAAATAGGCTACAGGATCACAAGCCAGATGAACTTTTTCCCAAAAAAACTTTTCCAGCCTTCTCATTTGACTACTACGTGATACAATGAGAACACCATCACCTTTAAACTGTGACTGAGAGATTATATTTCCGAAAGCGCAACACATTTGGCCTAAATCATGTTTATCACGCAGTTGGTGAAGAAACCCTTTTCTATGAATCCTCATTTTTGGTAACTCCTGTGATCTGATGATTTAATTTAAGCTTCTGTTGTCTGCTTGATACTCACAACTCACCCCTGATCCTATCACAACATTTCAGTTAATTGGAAACCTGGGACTGATCAGATTAGATGTGTCCTTTAAGTTTGAACAAAGCAGATTTAGTTTGCACATTTGTAGCTCAACAGTGTCTGATGGCGTCAATAGCTAATTGAATATCTAGAATATCAAATGACTGTTCTGATGATGGATATTCAGCAGCTGTATAGTTGGTGAGAGATAGCCTACAATCCACACTTGTATCAAGTACAATTTCTGATACAACCCATGCACTAAACCAGTGGTGGAAGACATACTCAGATCCTTTACTCAAGTAAAAGTACTGTAGAAATAACACAATGTAAAAATACACAGATTCAAGTTATGGTCTTGCAACTTGGATGGAAGTATCAACATCAAAATGGACTTAACTTAAAAGAATCAGTGTTGTACTAAAATTAAAATTGCATTATTAATGCTGATGCATCAACGTGGACGCAGTATTTCAGTGTGAGTTGGACGAGGTGGAGAGCATTTTAATTACTTTATAGAATGCTGGATATTTTGATCATATTCTATAACCTGATTATGTGTTTTATAAAAAAACAATCAGTTCAGATACAATCAGGTATTGCATTAATTATCTCTGAAATATAGTGGAGTATCTTGGTATAAGTACAAAATTACATAAAACGGCAAGTACAATAAAGTAACAAGTATGGAAAAACATTCATGGTAAATTCTACCACCGGCCTCAACATGCCAGAAGAAAATGAATAATTAAATGTAAAAATCAACACAATGTTATTGAAATACTAATAACGTGTATGCAAGATTGAGCAAAAAGTGCTTTATATGTAAATCTAAACATTGTATTTGCAAGTCTGATATTTGCTCACATGCTTTTCATTTTGTTCCAGTTTTGGTAAATTTAGTGGCAATAAAACACATTTTAACGTAGCTGTAAAATGACGTGGTCTGCTGTTTTTCTTTTCCATCATAATGTCTTTTTTTTTCCACGCGAATGCGCGGTGAGTTTAATACAAGTCTTCATTTGTGTGTCCACTCACACAAATATTGTGTTACACTTTCAGTCACGGGTGTGGAGGGCAGAGCATGAGTCGGCTTCTTCTCGATGAATTTTAGTAGTTGTGGCTTTATTGTCTATTGTCTATTTCTAGTGTTGTGCGTAATAGCTCAGTGTTTCTCCCCAGCATGTAATGCAGATGTTAAGTCTGTCTGTATGGACACTTTGTGTCATATATCTAAATGGTCCATTCAGTGGAAATTCAGCTGTGGCTGTTTTTATTTCGCCGCAGTGTTTCCTGACATGAAGACCTGAGTTTCTGAATCAGCTGCGCAGCCCACATATGAATGTCTCATAAACCTGAGACCTGCGAGGTGTGTGAACTGACTTCTGACTGTACACTATGTCCACAGTGTGTCCCCCTCTCCACTGTTCAGCTGTCACATTTCACCTCACATCTTTTCAAGCAGTCACATTTGTGTCATCCGGCATTCTTCACATTTAACCTGATTGTATTCCATAAATGCCAGATTTTCTGCATGACTGCAGCTCATTCACAGTGAATTCGTGGAAATATGAAATCTACCGTCCAATCCGGCGTGTGATACAGTTGGTGGATCACATAAAATCGAGGAGTATGCAAGTGCTGTTTGCGTAATGAATCCTTAAAATGTTGTGAACTTTTGATATGACTGTGAGAGTTAATACAGTTTGATAGTTTCTGCACATTTTGTTCTGCTCTTATTGTTGAGTCAAACCTTTCCAAACAGCTGGCTGCCATCTGCTGGCTGTGATCAGACCTCAGTTTGAGAAGTTTTGGTCCTGTTTGTTCTGTCTCTCTCTGTTTAGACCGGTAGACGTAGACGTAGACGTACACACACACACACGCAAAAAGTGCAAGAATTATTGAATAGTTGAAGTTTTTCCCTCTTTGAGACACACCCAGTAGGGATGGACTGTTTTTTTGTCACACACATTAACAAATACGAGCATGTGAGCAGAATAACAGTGAAGAAAATACTTTGAAACAACTCCAAAGGCTTTCTAGGAAGTGACATTGAACCCAAGTAGAAGATAATAATGTGTTCTCTGTTTTTCTAGAGTGTTTAAATAACGTACAAACATAATAAACACATGTACAAAGAAGAAATATTCAAGGTACATGCATTTGCAAGCGGGACAACTTTTTGATTTCCTGGAGTAAATGATGATCAATGATTAAAAAAAATATTTCTGATAGAAAAAAACAATGTATGTGAGAGCCAAATCTAAAAACAAGTGAAAACTGTGGCTGCTTCTTCAGTTTCTTGTGTAAAATACAAAAAATAGATTGTGAGGTTAAAGTGTTTCAGTCTGCCTCTGTTTTCTTCTTAAGAGACAGGTTAACCTTTAATTGCAATACAAAGATATTCTGTTTTAAAGCTTTTCATGTGATTTCCTCCAATACAACAAGATGTGTATTTTGTTCCTGCTCATGTGTCTGAAGGGAAACGAGGAGGTGGACTTTTAAAAAACAGGTAAATTCAACATTTAGAAACATTACAAAGGAGGGGGTCATCTTCAACTCTGTACACCTGATATAAGAGCAGTAAAGGAAGGTGTGTGTTTAAAAACAGTATTTAACCATGTGAGGATGGGACACACTGAGCCCCTGATAGGTAAACAAAATACACCTTTACCTGTGGAACTAGTAAACTATTATCAGCACCAAAGTAAGCTAAATATATGGAAAAGTATTTCCCTTTATTTATTTCCTTTCTAGGAAACTTTCAAGATTACGTTCATTTTCCATTCACTCCAGTAGGCGGCGGTAGTGCGCCTGCGCCACCAATAAAGAAGAAGACGAAGAAGAAGAATTTAAAAGATGAACAGACACCGAGACATAAAAGTAAGTAAATCGAAGAACGACAATGATTACTGACTCTTTATAATCATAACAATTAAGTCACGTGTGACCGTTATGTAACGTTGGTTAGTAGACTAAAATTAAATACCTGAAGTTGTCTTCTTGACTTGCCAAGCTATTAGCTAATTGTCTAGCTAGCTACCTTGCAAATCCTGTTGAAATAAGACTCCGACTAAATAGGAACTTCAGATGTAAATGAAAATTGCTCTGTTGACGCTTCTTTGCGTTAGGTGTCTTGAATATCACAGTTTAAACTTTAAATGGTAAACTACGTTTGTAGTTTGAGCCAACTTTTCCTGTCCTTTTGCACACGTTCACATCACTTAACATACATTACATGAGAACAGACAACAAGACTGTTGTAGTTGACGTTATTAAGTAGTGAAAGGACAGTTGATACGTCTGAGGCTGTTTATTACTAATGACTTTCTTTAATCTGTTTCAGCTCCACATATCTATCCACAAGGGATTATCCACTCCTCCTCTGCAAAAATGCAAGAATTGCTGCCATCCTGCCAAATTTCATTGTCCATTTTGTTTACCGTCTTCCTTCGAACCGACCAACTACTCCAGAGCCAGGCATCACTTAGACAAGCATCTAAAGAAAAGCATTCATCTTCAAGGTAAAGTCATATTTCATTTTTGTGATTTACTTGACAGTGTCAGCAAAGTTAATGAATCCCTAATTGATTCATAATACAATGTGTTGTTTGTATATTTCAGGGTACACAATCCACAGATGCAGGCTGGAGTGCAGGAATCAACCACACTACCACTGTTTGTACTGCCCAGCCACGCGGATAAGGAAACAAGATCTCAACAAGCATGTGCTACGCTGCCTACAGGATCTACAGGAGAGAGACCCACAATCATCCCAACTACACACCAAAGGATCAACCTCCCCTGCAAAGGATGACATCCTTTCATGTGACATAGTAAGCCTGTGACCATGTATGATGCACTTTACATTTAACAGTTAAGTTTTCTGATGATCTTGGGTATGAATGAAGTTCCTCCTTTTCTTCTCCGTGAATGAACAGAGCTTTTTCTAGCTTTCCCACGTCACTTTTGACTGTCGGCAACATCTTTTTTAAACCAACTTTTGTATTTTAATTACTGAATGGAAGCAGAACCGTTGCGCCTGTTGACTCTACAACCAGCCTGCACTTGTGCCAAAACATCACATTTTGTAATTTGTGATCTTGCGGTGTCTTTTGGATTCATTACGTCTGTAACTCCGTTGTTCTTCAGGACCTTTTTTGGCATCATAAGTTGCATGTGATGGGGTGTAAAGGACAATCAACGTCCTGTATGTGAAGTCATCAGCTGCAGAAGGAGGGAGTCTACGTTTGTCAAGGATTTCTTGAGAAAAACAAATCCGTCTTATCGTAAAACACTTCATAATCGATTAAATAGACTTGAATGTCAAAATCTAAGAGGAGACATTTTTTTTTCAATTGCAAATGTTTTAAATGTTCGTTAAATGCTAATGTGAACCAAACCTTTTTAGCCAGCTTTGGATGTTTTCTCTGTCACAAACTGTGCATTATGCCACCTTAAAGTTAAATCACTGTCATCGGACACCATACATATTATTTTGTTCTCCTTTGTCCTCACAGGAAAGCTGCGATGACGGTGACGATCTAACCGTCATCACAGATCGGGACCACCAACACAGCCGAGGAGCGAGCGGCAGCCAGCGAGTGACTCCTGTCGTTGTCCAAACTGTGCAGACAAACAGTGAAAAGCCGCAGGACTGCGATGAATTCTACTTCATGAACCTTGTGAAAATGTTCAAAAAGTTGTCCCCGCAGAAAAAGGCAGAGGTCAGGATGAAAATCGAGAGACTCCTCTTCGAAGCCGAGTTTGACTAGAAAGGGTTTACACGCACATCAACAAATGAGTGTTTCCTGTTTGTTACGTTTTATTGAAAGAATTGTAAGAAGTAGAGTTTCAGTATCTTGCCTTTAATTTTTCTTTTATTGCAGACAAATCCTGGAATATTTTTCGTCAGTATTTTGTTGCTAGCCCACTGCGTCTTCAGTGAAGGTGCAACTGGATTGTTTACAAGTTCTGAAGCATTATTACTGTTACTAGATGCCTCCTGCGTTTGCAACAAGCAAGCTGTGATTTGCAATATGACATAAATTCTTTCACTTGTTAATTTAAAAGTATTTCGTTGATCAAAACAAATGTCCTGCTTGTGGCCCATACATTAGCATTCAGAAACCTGGTAGCACTCGGAAATGTTTTTGCTATTTTTCAGCAACAATAATTTGTGAAAAAATGACGCCACAGTTTGACATTAGCCTGTAAAGCACTGCTCGCAAATCACCTCTGTGAAGCTGCTGTTTAAGTATGAAATATGTTAATTGTTTTTCATGCAAATAAAGATCCTGCAAAGTGTGTGTATGTGGGCGTACAATTTCTTTGTGGAGAGACAGAAACAAGAATCTAATGTACAAGGATTTTAATGGTTAGGAAAAGCATTTGTTGTACAAAAACAAGTTATATTTGTAGACTTTATGACTTCAATTAAATCTCAATACCTAACAGCTGGCTTAATAACTGGTTGCTATCTGACTCGTGGTGAGATACCACAGATTCTCACTAAGATGAACGCACGAGGATGTAAAATGATCCAGTATATCACAAGAAAAGAAAAGAAAAGAGCAATGTCTGAAAAAGTAAATATAATTTTGTTTTGCATAAAAGCTTTTTTTCTCTTCTGTTTAACATCTCAGGACCACTAAGATCTTTCTTGTTACTTGATGAGTGATGGCATGTTTTCAACTGACCCCACAGAAGAGGAGGACTTGTAGCAGTAGACTCCGTGCTTGTGCTGAGGAGGTGGGAAGCCAAAGCTGTGCACCCCGGGCGCAGAGGGACCACAGTTTCTGCGTGGCTTGGTGATGGGATACCGAACGCTTCCATCAGCCAGCCAGCCGGCGTCACAGTGGTCCAGCCCTTTTAGCTTCCAGGCAGCGTAGAGTTGTCCGACTTTGGCGACCTCCGCTCCGTCCTCCTGACACGCCTGCTGAGCCTCAGTCAGGTTCATCTTGTGAGGGGGCTGAAGATAGTAGACTTTCCCTTTGAAGGGAATACATTTATTGTGACATTAAGAGAAACTTCTGCAGGCTGGATAAAGCTCTTCAACATTACATGCAGTTAATCTCATTTTAACTGTCATGCCATAAGGCTGATATTCAAGCTAATATTCATTTTTTAATAAGGCTGAAAAGTGGAGAAAACTATACAACAGTTAGCGCTCATATAACATTTAGTAATTTTTCTAGTAGTTTAACTGAATTACTAATTGATTTGCGTTAGACGTCTTGAAGCTTTTAGTTAATTAAAAGACTCAAGTTGGCTGCTGCACACTACATTTTGACATGTCACAGCAAGAAAATCACAGGTGTAAATAATGACATTAGCTGCTTTGGTTTCAGGGTCCTGATCAGCCCTTTTCACAGCTGCTATTTTTTACAGGTCGTTGCAGAGTAAACACAGGTGTAATCAATAAAATAAATTATGGCCCTGTTCCATTTAGGTGGGCCGGGGCCCTGTTATTGTGCACACTGGCTCACTGGAATGGCTGTAACACGTTATAGAACAGGACCGGAATCAATATTATCAATTACACCTGTGTTTACTCTACAATTACATGTCAAACTGACTGCTCTGAAAAGGGCTAATTGTGCATGCTGGCTTACTGTCACACTGAAGAGAGCAATCGTTAACGGAATTAGTAACACCTGTGCTTCTCCTGCTGCAACAAGTCAAACTGTGCTGTGAAAAAAGAACCTTTTCTAGAATCCAGATCTTGAACCTGTGACGTTATTGGTCTCCCACCACCTCACCTCGGAGTGAAGAGGAGAAGCAGAAGACATCGTAGCGATGAAGGTGCAGACTGTGCCGTCTGCCATAGCTCCGGACACCCGGGGCGAGGCCGTGCCCGCCGCAGGGCACTCTGGGCCGGGTGATGGGGTACTGGACCGTCCCGTCGGCCAGCCAGCCTGCATTGCACCAGTTTAGGCCCTCCTTCCAGGACTGGAAGAGCTGTGTGAAGGTGGCCAGTGTGGAGTCCTGCTCCTCACAGGCCTGCTGGGCTCCCAGGAAGCTGAGGTGGTAATGACTACCAGGGTGCTGGTAGGGAAACACCACCCCTGAGTGGAGGAATTGATTGGACACTGTTACACAAAGTATGTGGGCCTCAAAGGTCCCTCACTGGGACACTTGGATAGAACAAAGCCATCATTAATGTTATTAGTAACACCTGTGCTTCTGTCTTTGAGTCAAAGTCAAACTATCTGCGAGGTAAAATTCCATTTAATTCAATGAATCTACAACTAATACTTGTACAACTTAAATATATACTACTTTCAATATGTTTTTATACTGCTACTACAACACGCATCAGTAATAACAATGAGACTTCTAATATTGCCAGACATTATTACATTTCTATGTTACAGAAGAGAGGGAAGCAATTGACCAAGTGAGAATAATTGTTAGCAAGCAAGAAAACCCTTAAAAACCCAGGATTGACCATAACTTGTCTCAGATATACAGTTCATATAAATGTATACCAATTTACCCCAAAACAAGTAAAACTTAAACAGGCTAAAAGCTCAACGGACTCAAAGCTCTATTTTTAAACCGGATCTCTGAATAGAAACAAAAGTTGTCTGTGTTAAATGAGAGTGGAAGTCATGGTATATGGACACATTGTACCTCGTAACTCCAGATAAACTGAAGTGCTCCTGTCCTCCAGTCCGTCCACCACCTCGCAGCGGTACCTTCCTGTATCATTCAACAGGAGGTTAGTCATCACAAGTGTGGCGTCTCCTGGGAAATCCTGTCTGAGCTGCACTCGGCCCCTGACCGACAGACACACTGTGAGTTAAAACACAAACAAGCTCATGGAGAAAAGAGTAAATCATGAATGAATCATTTTGTCCTTCCAACAACCTGAAGGCCCGAAAGCTACGACTGCGGGAGCCGATGGCCAACAGCACGTCTGTCTCGTGTCCCCCAGCAGCAGGCAGCCAGGACCACTTGACCCGGACCCCCCTTGGCGAGCTCAACTGAGGCTCATACCAAAACCTGCACTGCATGGTGGCATTACCCCCTCTGACTGCAAACACTGATGGCTGAACTGAGTCCACATGGAGCTTCACACCACTGAAATGAACTGTAGGAAATGCAGAGAATACATAAATGTGGACTAACAGAACACATATTGCAGTGTTTTACATAAAGTAACATGTATCCTGTGCATACTTTCATTGTTGCCATGTCCATTGAGGTAGTTATGGTAGAAGAAGTTGTTTGGGACTGTGGGGGCGGCCAGGGAGACAACCAGCTGAGCCCCCAACAACAGCAGAGTTTGGAGGCAACAGATCATCATCAAATCCTGATCCTCAAAGAGAAATCTGATTGGCTCCTTTATCCCTAAAATCACAGTGGAATAATGACTTTTGTATGACTGCATTGTTTTTGCATAACCTGCTGTATTTGTAACTTCGGATGTTGTGACCATACAGTGTCAGTAGAGGTCAGTATGACACCATGTTTCTGAGCTCTGTCTATTTTTTATGAAACTGTAACTTTGCCGCTTCAACAACTTTAAGCATTTTATATTATTTGGTAGTTCAAATAATGTTTTATGCATTCTGGCACCACAAAACTGCTGCTTTCAAAGGCTCATTTAAAAAAAAGAAATGTTGATTATTTGCAGAATAGTTTTCAGCTTTGCAGGTTGTCTATTTCAGTTATTGCCATAATTGCAACACCTGGGACATTGTTTGACTCGATGTAAGATACCTGGACGTCAGAACAAAACAGTGAAAAAGTCCAAATACAAAAGGTCTAATACATTTACAAAATCGTAAAGCGAATTTCAGAAGCTCAATTGACCAATAAAGTGACTCGTGTCATAAAGAATAAAGATAACATATTTGATTTATAAATTTTTCTCACTTACCGTAAAACAATATTCTGCTTGAGTGGTTTGAATCCCAAAAAAGCTTTGAGGTTGAGGAGCAGAAGTTAGAAGAAGTCAGATGGGAACAAATCCGTTTCTTCAAGAGGTCGCAGAAGATCTGAAGCGCACAGTGGGTTTCTGGTCAAAGAACAAAAAGCGTAATTTTAAGTCTCCTCCAGTCTTATTTACCGATGATGAAACAGGTGCATCTATAGTCAGTCAGTGATACGTGTATTCTAACGTTTGGGTAAAGAGTGAGAGGGCTGTAATCCTCAACTACCGCGATGGAGCTGTTGGACTGGAACATACCTGAGGGTGTTTCTGCAGCCAGCGAGTGAAGGGAGGACAATGATGTCCCCAATTTCATCCATCAGTATCTCACATGTATAGTTAAAGTAGACTATGGAAAAAAAATAGAAGTTTTCTCAATTTTCTTTGTGCATTTTCCATGCATATTCTACAAAACTCCAAAATAACATTTTACCGAAAAACGTGTATCCAGTTGAATCTCAAACTAAACACCATGTTATTTATCCTATAACCATTCAGACTGCTAAATCTACTTTAGAGTATAGAATAAATATGATTTTATCAAATGTGATAACATTTTATACTGCAAGGCAGTTTAAGTGCACTGAGTGAATTAATAACCATCTTAAAGTACAGATGAGTTGTTTTACTCCCACAAACCCAAGTTACAGAATCATTTTTCTTACAGTAGGGCCAACCATAAGATTTAAGCTCATGTTGTACAGCTGCTTGTGGAGGAATATCTTGGGTGAAAACTCCCAAACTCTCTGAAAGCAGATGTTTGTTGCAGAGGCTGGTAGCTGTATTTTTTTTACTCCCGGAGGCTCTGTGATCTTTTATAGGAAAATGTGCAATACATGCAAGAAATACACATATATGCAGTAAGGCATCGACACCAACAGTGAGGACAGATGTGTTAGAGATGCTTCGTCCTCCACTGTATTCATTTCATAGAGATGAAAGCTGTTGCCAGGGGCCAAACATACCAGGACTGTGAGTTTAGCAGGGAATTGAATGCTTAACAGGGTGTAATTACTCTTGTAAACAGCAGGCCAAAGCCCGGTAGTCCAGCGTGGAGAAGAATCCCAACATATCTATCGTGGTCGGGACAGTGTGTGAAGAAAGCAGGATGCAGCAGGTTCGTATTGGAAATGTTTGAGTTTAATTCTGTTCTGAGAGCTTCAAATTAAATACAAAGTCATACTTTGACAGCAAAAAAACAATTCCTTTTAAAAAATATTTATTAAATGATCGCAGTTCAAGATCAACAATGAATAATAATAATAAAAAAAGAATGTAAAACAATGTTTATTTTCTACACGTCTTTCTACATATTTCACATTTGTTGTAAAAATGATTTAAATGCAATGAAACTATTTGTAAGTATGAAGTGGAAAAATCTGCTGAAATATGTAAAGAAAACACGAAAGCTCCATCACTTGATTGACAGATCAGTGGGCTGCAGTTCAAATTTGAAAGATTACATTTTCTACTCTTGGACATAACCTCTTCCAGGATTGTTGGAAATGCCAAAATATTATTGCACAGGCCCTGCGTCATTCGTGCTCGAGTCACTGTCCTCCGCAGACTGTTAAAACAAAAAGGTGGGGTTGCTAACTGGTTAAAACTGGCAATTTAGCTTTGAGTACAACTGGAAGAGGTGAAGAGCACTACTATCACGTCTACCGACTTACAAGAACCTGAAATCAGGAGTAAATAATATGAACTAAGAGCAAATTTAGTGTTTATCCAAAGCTATTAAAATTCAACGTATTACTTCGTACAGGACTCTCTGTGAGCAATGTCAAAACAATGTTATTAACATTAAACATTAAAGTTAGAAAGTGCTACAAGTGTCAGAGTCCCAGCAGCCAACGGGAGCTTTATTCCTCTGCTGTGCTTTGAGGAGATGGAGCGACTGGATGAGGATGGAGCACTGTTAGATGAGTTTCTAATCATCGCAGCCCAGCAGCTCCATGCGCAGAGTGATGCGCTCGTGCCACTCCCAGGGGACGACGCGGACGTACCGGGCGTAGAACGGAGGCTCGAATAGATTCTTCTTGTGGGTGTTGTTGTCAATGTTGCCTTGGAAAAGCTGCAAATAAATGTTAAGGTTATGGTTAAAGTAAAAACAATCAACTATTGAGCAGAAGTTATTGTATAAAGCATGTTCTGTCTAAGTTTGTTCAGTTCACAAAGAGCAACAATTCTGTTGATGAGGAAGGAAGTGGGCATCCTGCAATGTACACGTTTGGTAAATACATCTGTTGAATGTCTTACTGACCAGACCATCAGGGGCTGTTAATCAAACTGAGCTGCACTGCCTTCTGACAACCTTACGACCCAGATCTTTCCAGCCCCACCCAGACGTTCAGAGCTTTTCAGACGAAGCCCCCGGGCAGCATCATTATGCCACGAGCCTGCTGCGGCTCTCCGCTCAGTAAAAACATCAAAGCTACAGTTTTATTGGATCTTCTGGGTCCAGCTATTGTAGCTAAAAATGTCCTATGGCTCCACTTCTCCAGCAAGAGACATAAAATACATCTCATCAATCATGAAGGGAAAGAGAGAACAGAAAGGGCAGCGGACATGTTTGACTTCTTTTTACAAACTTTACGTGTTACTTTTTATGCAAAAAAATGCATCAGAAAAGAGGCTCTGCATTGAAATGAGACTCATTTATGAAGACGTACATACATATGCATACAGTATGTCTGACCTTATCATTGCCAGTGTTTTCCTGCTTCACAATACTCCATGACTCTCCATCGTTGCTGTAGGCAACTTTAAACAGTGTCACAAACTGCACCACCCCAAAGTCCTTGGCCCCCTGAGTGATGATGCCTGTGAGTCGTTTTGTCTTCTCTAGATCGACCTGGCGAAGGAACAAAGGAGACAATGATACTCTGCAACACCTGCTGGCTTTGAAGGACACTTTTACCAGTAGTGACATTACCCCCCCCCCCCCCTCACCTGGATCCACTCTGAGTGGTTGTTGTGTGCAGGAGACCAGGCGTTTGTCTTCCCCTGCTTATCCAGTCGGGCAAACTGAGGGTGCCACGTGAAGGTATCAATGCCCCACGTGCGGAAAGAGCTGGAGGCCGAAAGCTGCCCATCCGAGACGAGGCGAGACTTCATTCCCAGAGGCTCTGAGCAACCTGCCGTGTTTGAATAAACTGTGAATCAAAAGGAGGCGGAAAGAGGGAGGATGGGGAAACCCAGAGCGACAGAAAGAGAAAGAGGAAAGAGAAATAAAAGAATACACCCGAATAAATTAAATTCAACTTTCATCCATCTGAAGAAATATTCAGAAGAATGTGATTGATTCAAATAATTTTTACACCAAAGACTGACCAAGAAGAGGCATACAGAGCAGAAGAATGCATGCAGTAATGTGTGTAAAGTGTGTGTAAACATCCACCATGTTTCTGTGTAAATGTGTCATGCTCAAAGAAGGACAAAAAGATGGAGGTGTGTTTTTTTTTCTCGCTCTGTGCGTGTGTGTGCTTGGAATTGCTGCTTTAACTGTTGCACAGTGAGGTCTACACACAGAATACTGTTATACTATTCCGATTCTGTCTAACCACGGCTGGATGGAGGCCACGTTATGTAGCTAAAATAAAGTCTTCGAATGTCAAATTTGCTTTTCAGTGTAACCCCAGCAAGAAGAAATAAACACACCAAAACAATAGACAGAGGGAAAGTTAAACAAAAGAGACGGCTTCAAGGAATATTATATTTTTGAAAAACAAATGTTCAAAATGGAAAGTTCACAGAGGCTTTAACTTGCCTTAACTTGAACTTACTGTAGTTTGTCTGTTCCTTTTCAATAACATCAAATGTGTCATAATAATAACAAGATAATTAATCATCAATAAGTAAATTGTAACCGGGTGTTTTCTGTGTGTTTACCATTGAGTTCACAGCCCACCAGCTCCATGCGCAGCGTGCAGGCCCTGCGGCAAACCACAGGGATGATGCGGATGTACTGGGCCACGATAGGAGGGTCAAAAAGGTTGGTCTTGGTGCTGTCGTTATCTGTGTTGCCAATAAAAACCTGCAGCCCACGGACACAGGAAATTAGGCGAGTATCGGAAGAAAGAGAAGCTTTCTGCTGGTAAACATCGTAAGTAACTTGTGTTAAATACAAGGGAGGTCCTCTAACCTTGTCCCTCCGTTGGCCGTCCTCTCTGTAAGTGATATAAGCGTTTCCATCGAAGCTGCTCGCCACCTTGAAGGCCTTGATGTACTCAGACGTGCCCATGCGACTGGCACCCTGACTGATGATGCCCGTCAGACGCATCTTCTTCTGCATATTAATCTGTTGTCAACAAGTGAACAAGTGTTAGTCAGCGTCCCAGCTCTCGGTCGTCAGCCTCATGGTTTTAAAGTGCTCGGGTTCTCCCACCTCGATCCAGGGGTTCCTGTCGTGGGCTGCTGACGTCCAGGCATTGACGATGCCCTGGTTGTTGAGTCGGGCCAATTCCGGGCCCCAGCGCTGAAGACCCAGAATGCCGTAGTGCAAAGAGGAAGCTGAAATCTGGGACTCCACGATCGCTCCTCCCTCCATCCCCAGCAGAGAAATGCAACCTGGGACACAGCCATTTCAATATTAGCAAGCAAGTTACTACACTTTCTCCTGTTTGTGAGTATTTTTGAGTTTCGACATTTTTTTTAACCTCTCTATAGTTTAAATCAACATTTTTGTGTCCACTGAAACTTTAATTGTGGTGTTAAAAAAACGTTATGCTCTTTATTGTGTATTTTCAAAGTTTTCCACTTAAAATAACTTACTTGTGCTTGACTAACCACTAGTAGTAATAGTAAAATACTAATTCTTAGATTTCATTTACACCTTTTGAAAAAGTAGGTAGTTGGTGAACGTACTTAGCTGGCACTGCTTTCCAACATACGGTGAGGGGCATTGGCACGTGTAGTCACCATCGAGATCTCGACATATCCCTCTATTCTTACAGGGCTGGTTGGCACAGTCGTTCACATCTGAAAAAAAAAAAAAGTCAGCAACTCTCTGCATTATTTTCATCTCCTCAAACTAACTTCCATCAGGACTCACAAAAAAGATGATTGTTAAGAGATGTGATGCACACCTGCTCCACAAACGGGCCCTTAGACAGAGAACGGAGGGAGGTGGAGGCAGGTGGAGGGCCACAATAGCCTAACTGTGTCTCCAACATAAGTAGTTTCTCTTAAATTGTTCACGATGACAGAAATGCCCCCGGGGGCAGCACTGAGGAGGCGGGACCCTCTTGGCAACCAGCTTAAAGGGCTCAGCCAGTTAAAGGTGAAAGGTCACGCTTGATAATTGTAATTCTGTGCAATGACTCGATGAATGTGAACATACACAGGAGATTTTAGGAGGTTATATCCATTGATCATCAGTTAGCCCACAAACTGTTTATGTTTATGTGTTTATGTATAATAATAATAATAATAATAACAGCTCTGACAGCCGGACAAACGTCTCTTTAGAATATATTTTGTATTTCTGCTGATAAAATTAGTCAATGAATGTCATATACACGGTTTCCCAGCTTTGTCTCGATCTTGCTTCACAGATAAACGCCTTGTTTTCCTCCAACAAAGCAAGTCTGTGGTCACTTTCTGTATCCTATTTGAACACTGTACACGTAATGCTTTCTAGTCTCCACTAGGTGGCACGCTGGACCACCATGTCTACATGGTTTATCTAGATCAGTATTATGATCGTGATAAAAGGGCCTAATATCTTTCCCAGGGGATGCTAAACCAATTTGCGAGAGAGATGATAGTTCAACCACTATTCAGACATAAGACCAAGCAATATAATACTTTTTTCTATACAAAAATCTGGGTTCCACCGGTTAACTGCAGGCCCAGATTAATGTAGTTGGTGATGAAAATATAGATACTGACCAAATACAGGCCATACTGTATTATTTTGTGTACATGTAATGGGAGGAGATACAGAAGAAAAAATAGTGAGAGTTATTGACTAAAATCTGACAAGCTCCCTTGACAGGAAATTGAAGTTAACCTCCATTTTGAGACAACGCCTAACTTCAGTTTCCTGTCTTCTATCGAGCCTCGCAGTGCCCTGAACGATGTCCGATCATGTGGTTAAAATACCACATCTGGAACATAAGTCAGCATTATCCTGCAATGAATGTTACCAATGCACTAAAGTTATCCTACGTTGAATTTATTGAAGTATTTAACTGCGTTTTTAGCCGGTAGCCTTTTTGTTTTCATTCTGGTGCATCTCTATCATTTAAAGTCCTGCTGCTTTGGCTACTAGCAGTTCATTTTCGTATTGCACAGACAACAATCAACCTGGATTACCCTTTGACACAGAAGAAAACGTCTCAATCTGCTGATTATGAGCCAAGATCTGTTTAACATTCGGTACAAACTACAAAATAAGATCCCACAGGAACATGTGAAGTTAAATGTAACTTGTCCAGTCTTATTTCCCCTCTCGAAAAACTCTACTGGAAATGAGTCAAAGGCCAAAAGAACCAAGAGTCTCTGCATGTGAGCTACTGGAAAACCTCAATCGCAGGGCAAAGTTCAATGATATTGTCATATTCATCGAGCGTGAAGTCAAAATAGTGTCTGACCCAATCTTTGGAGACATTCAGAATACACAACTTCATACAGTAAACAAAAATGTGAACAAGATCAAAGCAGTCATAAAGGAAGAGTTCTCGGGACCTATCCTGACTGGAAAGGACTGGTGAGATCTGCACGAGTGCAAACCAAAACTAGCACGCTGGACAGGCCAGTGACCAAACTTTGGCTTCTGCAAGAAGCTGAAACATAAAGTTATTAGTGACCTCTTACCCTTAGGGGAATTTTGGGTTTTTGTTTATTCATTTTATTATGGATTTATTGGCTCCATTATATAAATATCTATTGAATTGTTTATGCCCTCCTGCCATTAACAATTAGGGGCCGGTGTGTTGGAGCCATAATGTGGTTTTGTTGTTTTCTTATGTCTTTGAGGGAAACATGGGGTGTGTACACATGCAGTTCTGACATTGAACAGTGGGTGGCACATTAACCTAAAAAGTGCATATGTAAGTGCCTGGTAATGAGGACCAGGTGTGTGTGTGGACGGGAAGCTAACAGTTTTTGACCGTGTCAACGTGTCGTGTCATTTAGAAGTTTCAAGGTCTTATATTATCCTGTCAAGTAACCTGTGGTATGCTGTTAAGGTGTCAATATGCATTTGAATAAATGGATCGAAAGAAAGACAGCGCATTGGACAGTGAAATGTTTGTGGAACACGCGTCCGAACAAGTTCTCCCATTCGCCCCCAGTGGCTTTAAAATGGATATTTGTTAAAGTCACTACATTAAGTCAAAAACTGTTAGCTTCCCGTCCACACACACACCTGGTCCTCATTACCAGGCACTAACTTTACCAGACTTCAGAACTTAAGCACGTGACAGGTTGACGTAATGCCACACAGGTCAGTTTAATTATTTTTCCCATTACCACTAAGAGGATTGGTCACAACTTAGAAACACATGCCTGTATGGCTGTGACCAGACTGGCACAACACAGCAGATAACACTGAGAAACAGGTGATCCTACCAAGAGAAGGGCCGTGAAATAGCCTCACTGATTTGAGCTGGGATTATTTTTCACATGTTTTGTTGACGGGACATTCGAGCCAAGTATGACTGTATGTCTGTGCATTTACTGTAGGTAATATATGGGACAGTTTAAACCTCATTCCAACAGTCCAGCCTGTGACGTCTGACTGAATCAAAATGAGAAAATGTTAGGGAGTAGACGACCACACTGCAGGAAGACTACAATTGGTGGTCAGGCTGTGGGCTCCAGAGGGAGAGCTGTTCATTCACAAAAAAAGGCCTCTTCAGTAATAGCAAGAATTAAAGTCATGCAAGCTACTTATATTTGATCTTTTTCATCCCTATGACTTTTTCTTTCAGCAGTCGTTCACACAAAGCTTATAGTTGTTTCAATTCAGAAACACTTCTTTCACTCCAGAAGATTTTGATAATCAGTTTCATGCCCGGAGAAAATTATCCTCTATTTCCTTCCTTTTCTAATCATTTCAAGTCATTCTTCCACTGATAAACCTAAAATTCAGCAATAATTCCAAGTCATTACATTAAGAGGATATGATAGGATTCACTTTTATGAAATTCTTCTTCATCTGATTTGGTCAAGCTTGAGCACAAACAGTTGCAGTGCTGAACCTACGTGGAGGGCGTCTGCATGCTAAGAGACTTGGAGTGGTCTTAAAGTAATTAGCCGAACAGAATGACCACAGAACCCGCTGAATGAGGCTCTTTCATGGAAATGCTGAGCGGACTACACACCTCTTTCACCGCTGATGATGTGACAGGATGGAAAATGCTCATGTGTTCACAGAGAAGTCTGCTGAAAGTGGAGCCCACTCTGCTATTTCTATTACTCTGCCTGTCGGACAAAAATGTGGCTTTACATTCTCTCTCACTCACTCTCATTTGCTTGCATATCAGCACTTAATAGTGAAATAAAAGCTTTCCAAATTAATTGAATAGATAGCAAAATATCTCGAAGAAAACTGACAACTGACAGTACAAATTTAAAACAATTTATGGTGAATGCAAACATTTAAATCCACAGGGCAAGAGAGGCAACTCAGACTCATGAATCACATCCACAAGGAACTCACTGATCTGGCAGTGCACTCCCTCGAAGCCGGGCTGGCACTTGCAGACGTACTCGTTGAAAACGTCTCCTCGTCTGGTTGGAGTGATGATCTTGCACGACCCATCGTTCTTGCAGGGGTTCAGACTGCAGGGTCCTGAGAAAGAAGGAAGGAAGACAAATTGGTTTAAAGCGTCTGATGTAACCGAGCTTTTCCCTCTAAGAGATTCCATTTTGCCGTACCGATCTCTGTCAGGTTGCAGCTGTCTCCCCCGAAGCCATCCGTACAGATGCAGATGAACGGATCCTCTCCTATCCCTGTCACACATGTTCCTCCGTTATGGCAAACATTCACCTCACAGTAGTCACCTGAGGAAATGAGAGAAACAGGGAGTTATAAAACAGACAGTACAGCTGAGCAGCTACAACACATGTTGTTTTGCATCAATTGCTGGCCTGTGAATGTGGAAACATTTAGCCTCCTGATCTTGTTATGCTATCGCTTAGATTCAAGCCACAGATGAGCAGAACAAGCTCCCACTAATTCTCTGGAGGTTGTCACAAGTCATTCTGGTCAAATGAATTGATTTAGTTTCTTATTTGAAGAAAATATAGACGATTGAGAAGGAAAAAACAAAGAGTACCATTACCAAATCATTCATGAAATTTGTTTAAAAAGGTGCCCTCTGGCAATTTAATATTGCACTTTCATAAAGTCGGGAGACTTAGGAAGAGATAGATTTAAGAAACAACAGAGCCTGAGATATCCTAATGTTAAGTCCCAAGTACTATAGGCCACGCCTTTCAAACTCCCCCCCCCCCCATCACCAGGGTTCTCACAATAGCACTCCCTGTGACGAGAAAAGGGAACGTGATGTGTAACATTGGTTGACTGCCCCTTTAATATTTAAAGTGATAATGGTAACATAACATGTCGAGTTTGGGATGTATTTGTGGCATTGTCTGACCTTCTCAGTGCTCAGAATACACTAGGTTCTAATAGTCAGAATCTGATCTACTGCGTTTCTTTGTTGCTGGAGTGTCTGGCCTTTGTAACAGCAGTGGTGCTGCAGCTTCAGCCTAAAGTGCTGAGTCACAGATCCTGGCTGGATTAGGAAAATGATGGTATAGACCTCCAGTGGGAGCGGCAGGGCACAGATTTATGAGTCACACTGAAGCTGTCAAATTTACAAAGCCTTAACTTTGTGGTTTTATTTCTTTTTCAAACCAACCAGTCGAGTCATTACCGATGCCACGTCAGCCCTTCAAGCTCTGAGCAACAACGGGTGGAACTTTTTTGTAGACAATGTGTGACTCTAGAGTGCAGACTCTAACAATGAGGCCTAGAATCACAATATTGAGTCGGTGGACATGATTTTTGTCACCGTTCTCTAACTGTTGTTGTCAAACCTCTAAGGACTTGGCAGACAATCTAATTGACCAGAGGAAACAATTTAAATAACAAAAGAAAAGTGAGTTGTTCAGTTTAATGTAGTTTAGTAAAATTGATTATAATGGAGTTTAATGTGGGAAGAGAAGTTGGAATGTTATTTGTTTGTCTTTTTTTTGCTCTATATTTAAGGAATGGTGTCTTCTTGAGAACAGCTAGTATTTATTGCAAAGATACTGAAATTAATATTTGGTAACGGACTGATGTTAATACAAAAAAGCTGTAAACAAATAACACGTTTTTATGCAGCCAACCCTGACAACAGAACGTGTCCGTGTGCAGGATTAAGAGCTTGCAGGATTATGTTGTGTAACGAGCAGTGCAGCAGCTCGAGAGTGGCTCAGGACACGCAGCACACCTGACTGACAGGTGGGTAAGGAGCAAAGCCAAATAGGCCCTGAATGTACACAAACATCATCATCAGAAGAACAGCAGCCGCAGCAACGACAGTCAAAGTGTCCATATTTGGCAGCATTTTAGCACATTTCCAGGTTGAACTAAAGTCAGGTGGGTGGACAGCTGGTTTGTGTCGGCTCCAGGGAAGAGCACATAATGGTGGTATTTTCCTCTCCACGCCATCTCTTTGTGTGACCAGAAAGATGCAACCAGGGACAACAATACATTCAAATGTAAGCTCAAATAAAATGTGTACAAATCTTTTGTTTGAGGAAATAATTACATTTCACTACAGCACGTAACATCTATTTTACAAACCTGCCTCTTATGTTATAATCACTGTGTAAAATAGTACTTTGTAATCACATGTAATAACAGAGTCTCACATTTCATCACTCATTCCACCGTGACAATAATACGATGGCACGTTGGGATGAAGGACTTATACACATTAAATATTTACTGTGTTCTGGAAAAGCTGCATATTTTCATGACTGAACCCTGAATGTATTTCATGGGTCATTTGGGGATGGGAAATGATAAAAAAAAAAGAGAAAATTGTAATTGTTACATAAAAAGCAATAAAATGAAAGACATTTGGCATCCAGTGGTTGTTTACTGAGGAAAGACAAAAGCCCCCACTTTTCCCATCACCAAGAGACATTGACACCCAGTAGGAAAAAACAAAACTAGATCCTCAAGAGTCAGTAAAAGTAATAGACCTACTGAAGGGTGAACTACCTTAATGGGATACATACAAAATGGCATGGAAAACAAGATTAGGTAGGCCTGTCATAGTTCTGTGCCAAAGTTCTCCAGTGGAAAACAAAGTCTGGTGTTAGAAGTAGAAACCTATGAGATTCTACACAAGAAAGCAACATAGACGGACAGCAAGAGCTCTGAATGAATGCGATTAAACAGATTTGTGTCGATGGCTTAAAAAGGACTTACCTCTGACTGAACACAGGCAAAGCAGAAGAGTAAATGTTGTAAACGTAGCTGTTAATACATTTCCGGGACGTTTCATGGTTGTTTACTCTTACTTTGTTTTGTTCCGCACGATTGTTTGTTCGCAGCACTAAACGTCTAACTAATGCTGCCTTAAAGGACTGTCGGAAATATCGGAATTCCGACGGGGATATAAAGGAAGTACGAAGAGGATGAATGAGGCAGCTGGGATTTTTCGATAATACCCGAGTTAAGGACATGTGACGTTCAATGGGCGGAGAGCTCGGCTGTAAACAGATCGAGACAGTAACGTTTCCTTCTATATCCATCCATGGTAGTTTATTGGGCAATTCTATATTGTTGCTCTTTAACTTAGAGGTGCCTTGTATTTTCGGTCATTCTTATAACTTGGAACAAAAGATGCCTATTCAATTAAGCCAAAGTATTGTATTTTTTCTTTTAGTGCTTTGTATTTATTTCATATTTATTTGTTTACTTTTCATAAAGCCTTTTTCATTTATAAGGAAAACCTAATTAGCTACAGGCTGCATTCACCTAATTCCATCTCCTTCATATAAATCAGAAAACGGTTTATTGCCAAGTACGTTACACATTATGGCTTGGTGATTGGTGTATAGTAATAAACACAGTGCAATAGTATAAGACATAAATTAAAAAAATAGGAAATATTAAAATGTACAATAAGATATGGTAAAGAAACAACAAACGTTAAAACAAGAATAAGCTCTGCTACCTGGTGATCTAAAATTTAAGTCACTGCAATCTATCAAACTACCAAATTAGTTGTCATCATGGTTAAACGATTGTGTTTTTAAATAACCTTTTTTTATGATGAACATTTGAAGGCAACACTACCCCCTATATTGACACACCTGTCAGGTCACCTGCACTGTCACATCAAATAATTGCGATGTTTCATTTACAGGATTTATTTGTGAGGTCCTAAACTCCCAACGTCCAATTTGGGAGAGAAGCGTGAAAATTGGAGTGAGCTAACAATTTAGTCCGATCCCCTGCTATGTAGGAACACAGCAGGCACAGCGCCCAGCCATCTCCAGGTCTGAGGCCATTTATACTGTTTCCCTGTTTTATAGGACGTATTACTACAACACTACACATTAGGTTACTATTCATTAACTCTGGATAATTGGCCAAACATTTAATTACAAAGGCCATAACTGTCCCACCAGTGATTACATGACAATGAAGCTACAGAATCATGGTTCATCTTGTTTCCTCTCGCATTTAAGGTTGAAAGTAAACGTAAAATTGTCAAAAGAATAGTTTACTTTACTTTAGACATTGCATTGTTGTTCTGCTTTCACAGGGAACCTAGCATCAATAAACTTTATTTGACTGTTTATACATTACTGGGTTTAAGAGCTTCATAAATAAATCTGTTAAACTCTGTCGCCATCACGTGGATATTATGTTGTACTTGCAACAATAATCACATCTTCTCGAGTTTGTCCTCTTACTACTAGTTGGAGTGACTTAAGACTCATTGGTCACTTCAAATCTGTGATTAATTAAATATATACGTATACAGCAGTGAACTGTACATGCTATAAGTAACAAGCTCTTGCAAATGTAAACTACATGCCTTGTTGTGGATGTGTATGCCCCTAAAGTTGTAAATTGAACATAATTTGTATTTGTTGATATAGGAATCACATCCAAAAGGTATCAGGAAAGCCAATCAATTATAACAGTACTGCTCGTGCATGCCAGTAAATGGAGATCAGTGTAGCTGAATATTATGTAACAGGTTTTTTGCTCACGTGCCTGTCACTTTCAGGAAATTATTAGTTTTTTATAATATATGTGACTCTCTGGAACACTATCATAAATAAAGGAAACATAGTATTAAAAAGGATATTCTATGACCAAAATAAACATCACAAATTAAGTGAAAAATGACATCGTATTGTTTCACAGATAAAGGGGGCGTGGAAAAATTAGCTCTAATGCCACGTCACCGTCCGTTTTAACCAATGAGAGAGCCAGCATGCGAGAGCTTGCTGTTGCTGTTTCAGCCAGTTGTGAATCAAGACTGCGCACAACGCATCCAGGAGCTAACGCTATGGTTCAGAACCACGCAGACCGACACAAACAAACGACATGTCCGCGAGTATAAAAACAAAACAAACCTGTCGCGTTTGAGCAGCAGGGAGCTGATTCGTTCTTTCTTTAAAGGGGTAAGTAGCTTATTTTAAAGATGCTGCTTCTGTGTTTTCATTCTCTGGACCAGTAGGGCGAAAGAAGATGCGACGGGTATTTTTTGGCCTGCTCACAGACCAACATAACACAGATGTTCAGGTTAATTTCCTTGTTTTTTTTTTGCGCCCAGACATGTGCCTATTTGTAACAAATGTCTCGCTATGCGTAACCAACGTCGGTATCCGTGCCCTTGTGTCTGTAGACTCATCTCCGGCTTGTTAGGAGTCGTGACAAAGAGAGGAAGAGCTAATGTTAGCAGCTGATCTGATGCCACATCGGACCGCATATGAAGTGACACAGCGTGGCTCATAATAAATACACTTTTGTCTTGGCATTAAAGCGAGACGCAACTGCCAGATACAGCTACTCGCCGGGATTGATTACAGTGCACGAGACGGGTCATTCAATGGAGTTACTTTTACGCAGCTGGGGATAATTCGGGCACCATGTCTGATTGGACCTGAGTTGTGTTAACAGGTGGTGTTTATATCTATCCATCTAAAAATACGTCTAAAAAAGACAGAGCCTGAAACTGTTTGTAGGTGATAATCTAAATTGAAAGTGTGTGTGTGTGTGTGTGAGAGCAGTTGTGGCAACTTCTCCTTTTTGGCAACACACCACTCTTAAATGAATAATGCACTTAATTGCTTTATGAACATGTGGGAAGATGGATAACGTTATACCTCGAAGGTGAAAGACACAGGTGTTCGTTCAGCAGTAATGCATTCAGGTGGACTGATTGTGTTATGAGAATGAGAAGCTTTGAAGAGTGTTTTACTTCATAAATGACTGATGATTAATTCATCATCAAAATCCTTTTGAGTAAAACATTTAACTACTGAACGGTGACATCGTGCATCTTATCTAGAGTCAGTTTGTGACAAGACACTGGAATAAGAAGAAAGTAGTTAAGGCATTTATATATGACTTTCCTCATTTTAGGGAAAATGGAAAATAATACTGGTCAATTACTATATTTAAAGGGTCATTGCATTTTCTGTGTTTGTCTTTAGGTTTGACCACATCACTGTGACTTCACCTCTTCAAACCTTTGGAGTTGTTGGAGGCTAACTTCAACAGAAAATGTAAGTAACAGTACAATTTCAGCTTTCCATTTTGTTCTTGTGTAACATATCACTATCTGTACCAATGACAACAACACACCGTTTGTTTTTGTGTTCATTTATTTTGGCTACTTCATTATAACAATGGAAAACACCGTCATATTTATATGAAATCCTGGACCACAACTTCCTTTTTTTGTGGTGGCAGGATACTCTGTGGCCTTTCTGAAAACTCCACAGTTCCTGTTTTTTTTCCTGCAATTTGTTTAATGCTTTGAACATATGCAACTGTTCAGTAAATATGTTGAGGTATAACTGTGTTGGTGCATTGAATTAGAAGCGATGTGTACAGTGTGTCTGCTAGATTCAATGATTTATTTAAAGTCTTATCTCTAATGTTGTGAGACTTCCTTTTGTCACTTCGTCAGCTGTAATGTCATTAAGGTGAGTGTATTAAATAAGTGACTGCGCTTTATGTGTCGCTCTCACTCTATATTCCCACAGATCTGTCGCTGCAGCGCCCCGGGCACCACGAGGAATATTTAGGTCAGTCAGACATCAGAAATGTCTTTGCTTTATCCAACCTTTGCCTAATCACAGCCAACCACATACTCGTGAAAATAATTGCATCATTGTGTACTAGTCATGGGTGTTTTTTAATGACTTGATATTTAAACAATGAAAAGCAGTACAAACCGTTTTTAAAATGCTGCTCTTAATTCATTGGCAGCGTTTTTGTGAATGTATTTATTACTGAAATAGGTTCATTTGTGTTTCACAAGCGAAAGCACTGAAACAAGCGTGGGCCACTGTTTTTCAGAGTAATCATGACCCACGAGTCAGACGTGCACACCATCTCTCCGGAGCTGCCGGCGATGTTCGACGGCATGAAGCTGGCGGCGGTGGCCACGGTGCTCTACGTCCTGGTCCGCTGCCTGAACCTCAAGAGCCCCACTGCACCCCCGGACCTCACCTACCAGGACACGGCCCTCAACCGCTTCCTTCTCAAGTCCTGTCCTCAGCTGACCAAAGAGTGAGTCTCGTTCTCAGCTCTCCGTCTGTCACTCAAAAGCATTTCCATGGAGATGGCACTGCTTGTTGGCCATCTGGGGCTGTGAGTGAAGGTAGCAGTTTGTCTGGCGGTGGTCCCATCTGTCATCAGTGCTCCCGAGCGTTTCTGTACCGGAGATTTCTGGCTGTGCCGCCGGCTCTGGCATGAATTAAACACCAGCCTGTATTTTCGGAATCATCCCAAAGGTAGATTGAGTTGTCACACTTACAAATATAGACTTGTTCACCGCAGGGCACGCACATTTGCATATATGACGATGCAAGTATCTCCCTCGGGGCAACTCTGAATTTGAATATTCCATCTTGGTTTATAATAACTGTTGCAAACCAGTGGCTGTTGATGCAGGGTGCTGGTAGACAGGTTTCCTTGTGTACGCTAAACCAGGTTAGCAGCTGGGCCCTAGTGTCCTGTATGCTGTGGGAAACCCTCTGCCTGCCTTTAAACAAAGTCAACTTGATTGTTTTTCTATATCCTGTGGTCTGCTGGTGTTGTAATACTTTCAACTCTCCTCGAGGCTTCATCACGAGTGTCTGCTTATATAACCGTTGTTGCGGAGCCATCTGAAGTCGGGTAGTCATAAGGCCACGCTGATGTTTACATTTGCGACTGGCTTGTTATCATTCCCCCCCTGAGCTGCCATATCTTGTAATAGTTGAACTGAGATAGCTGAAGTCCTGGAAACCGGCCGGCATTGTGGATGTTGCTGTTGGCATCATCTGCGTTGTGTCTCTGTGTTGTGTAGAAGTCACGTTTGTGACCCTGCTGTGTTGCGTAACAGAGATCAATAACACAGTGGAAAGCATTGGAGGGGTGTTGTGAGGGTAACAGAGTTAACAGCGATGTAGTTTAGCTGTGTTTGGGAACGTGCACACAGGGGTGTTGGCTAACGGAGAGGACAATCCAGAACAAACAACCTTTTTCTTAAAGAACTTCTTAGCTACAGGAACTTACTTGCCTTCAGTAGTTTAATTTGACAGAGAAACAAGCCTCAGCTGGTTGTTTTAGTATTATGCAACTTGTTTTAATATTTGTCCTTGATGTTAAAGCAGCCATTAGTTAACTGAGTCTATTTAAATATGTGTCTGCCTTTGTTTAGTCTGGTGTAAATGAAAAGTTAAACGAGAGCAATAAAGATTTTTTAGGAAAGTAAATTGTCAGGACCAGCCATTTAGTCTTCATTCATGTTTGCTGGGAGTGTTTGGTATTTCCCAGCTCGCTGGAATCAAAGGCCTGTGACTTTGATCTGGACCTAAGATCTTTGCTTCATCAAACCACAGTAGCGCATCTGTTTCCTTTTTCCGTTGCCTAATAGAGGAACAACAGCACACGTCTCTGTCTTTATCCCTTTAAAAAAACACACCGTGAGATTCAAACAAAACAAAAGGCTCACCTGCTGTTACTCCCAAGATCTTTAATTTAAAAACAATCAATCGACAACAAGTTTAAAAAAAAATAAAAAAAATTCTCAAAAGGTTTTGATTTGAGCAATATTTGTAAATTATCAGTTGAACACAAAATGCTTATCTTCCGAAGTGAAACTGCTTAATTATACACGTACCAGTCATTTTAATCTACCTGTTTTTTTTTAATTATTTGGGTTTTTTCAAACTATATTGATGAGAGGAAATAAACAACAACATAGTGGTTTGCATTTAAAGTTGCCTGTTGCCTCCTGTGGATGAACTGAACTGGCGGTGTGCTTATCCTCCTATCCACATTACAACAACAAGGTCATCCTCATCCTGGACTCCTAGATTAAACCTGCAGAGTACCTTCTAGAAAACTGTGGTTAAGCTCCAAATCACAGTGCATGCTGGAAGTGATTACATTATCACCAAATGGAAGTATTACTGCTCTTATGTAACGGTGCGTTTTCTAGGTGCGGTAATTGTCGGGAGGCACAGCGAGAGATGATGCAACACGAGGTTGAATGTCTTGTGGAACTATTGATGTTGTAACTCTACTGCTGCTCACTGTGTGTTTAGTTCTGTAAACACAACAACTGGTGTCCACACTGCGTGTGTGCTGTGTTGCTTTACAGTTGTACTGGTCTTGTTTATCTCCAAGGTGGCCCACTCTTCACCTCATTGTCAGAAACTCTAACAAGATTTCGTCGAGGATGTTAAGAAGTTACTGTGAAAATGTATTTATGGCTGCAGCACTACATGAAAAGCCTACCAATGGTTGTTTTGGTTGTTATCCCTACAGCTCTTATTATCAGCCATAATTATGATATTCCATTACTTTGTTTTTCTCAGCTGCCTATGCTGTCATGTAAATATAAACCGTGTCTTAAAGGGGGTTTCCTGTCAAGTTGTCCTTATTCTTTTGGTCTCAGCGTGGCAATAAAATGGTTATTCACGATAATCCACAGCATAGGCTCAATATTTCAAAGAAGTATGATGTAATCCACAGACTTGACTCCTACAGCTAACTCCTACCGATGTGTAAATGGAACTCAAGTACACACATTCAGCATAACGTACACGGCACTCGCACAGCAACAGACGAACGTTAAACATTGATGTGTGTTGGGAGCATGGAGCGATCTTTAAAAAGCTGCAACAGAAATGTGAGTCTGTAATGCAAAATATGTTCACGTCTGCGTCATACACCACCAATGCAAATGTATCTGCTCCGGATGAAATTGTGTTGATGCTATTTCTGGGCAGTAACCTTGTGCTTTTATATCGAGTGCATTAGCAGAATAACCTCATGTTTCTAGATCCAATTTAACAGCAAAGTCCAAATTTGTTGTGTTTTCCAGGTACATTCCTCCCTTACTGTGGGGTAAGAGCGGTCACCTCCAGACGGCACTGTACGGTAAACTTGGCCGGGTGAGCTCGCCTCACCCAAGTGGAGTCAGGAAGTACTTACCCATGCAGGACGGGGCCACTGCCACCTTTGACCTCTTTGAGCCGCAGGGGGACCATCGAACAGGAGGTGATACTTTTAAGATCTACTTTTTCTTTACCCACTATTGTTTGTTTGTTTGTTTGTCATTTGCTGCTAGTTGGGTAATACTTAACAGATGAAGGTTATTTGGCTCTTTACTGCCATGCCAAATATAGAAATGTCATATATTTGTAGTTATTTGTATGTTGTAATCATGTTTCGTCATCTTGTGATTGTTCTACTGCTACTTTAGTCTAGTCTGTTTATGTGACATCTTTTGAGTGTCTGTCCTGGAGGAGGGATCCCTCCTCTGCTGATCTTCTTTAGGGTTCTCCCATCTTTTTGTTCCTCATAGTGTTTTTTCTTATCCAATTCGAGGGCCAGGGAAAATAGGGTGCCGTGGGGCTTGTGCTATACGAATACACTTGACTCGAGATATATGGACGAGGAACAGACTCGTGAAGTAAATTCACCATCTACATCTTAAAATGAGGCATAACAAGGTTGTAAGGACAGTTTTGGAGATGGATTCCTTTCCTTGAATGCCTCAGTTGAACCTTGACACCCACCACTTCAACACTGATAACTTTTCAGAAAGCTTAAGTTTCATGTCTCCCCCCCCCCCCCAAAAAATAGTGTTACAATTTACATTCTGCTTTGCTAAAGCCATAAATTGCAGACAAAAAGCCTTCGCCTTTGTTTTGCGTCAGCTGCAGTGCTCCTTTTAGATCTAATAATCTGCTGTTCAGCAGAGTGATGTACTCTGCTTACATGATTCTCTCTGGCTAACATCTCTCTGATCCCATCTTTCTGTTTCACCAGATGACATCACCATGGTGATATGCCCAGGTATCGGGAACCACAGTGAGAAGCATTACATCCGGACCTTTGTGGATCACGCCCAGAAGGATGGTTACCGCTGTGCCGTGCTCAACCACCTGGGAGCTCTTCCCAACATCGAGCTTACCTCTCCGCGCATGTTTACCTACGGTGAGGCCAAACAGCTGACTTCAGTTTCACACGCCTGTCTCCTCAAAATCACCTTTCCACAATAGCAATATCTAGGAATTAGAACCCAGTTTGTAAAATGGAAAAAAAAGGGATTTGATTTGGTCAAATCAGATGTTGCTCTCATCAAATTCTGAGGTTGAGGCTAAAGAAGCTCTTTTTAATAGCAGTGAATACAGACTTATTTCTTCAAAGCAGCTTTTAAAAATGACATCCTTTTGTGGCACCTTCATTTTTATATAATCTGACTTAGTTAAAGGTATTCTCATATCAAATCTCTGTACAAAATAATGTCAAGGTAAAAGCTAAAAGGCTATATGAGCTGGTTAGTTTCAGATAATAAGAGATTTGAGACCTGAGCTTATTTATGAGGTCTGAATGAGACGCACATTTACTGCTCTGAGCTAAAGGCACCTTCAGCTGGAACTGCTGAGCAGAGGAAAAAACCGCTCCGTCCTACAGAGGTGTTATGTATTGATTTGTAACTGTACTGTTTCCCTCACAGGGTGCACATGGGAGTTTGCAGCCATGGTGGGCTACATTAAGCGGACCTATCCTCAGACCCAGCTGATGGTGGTGGGCTTCAGTCTGGGTGGAAACATTGTTTGTAAGTTCCTGGGCGAGAACAGGATGAACCAGGAGCGAGTGCTGTGTTGTGTCAGCGTCTGCCAGGGCTACAGCGCTCTCAGGTGGGTTGTTTTCCTGTCATCTCGTGATTAACATGCATCGTGTCATCAAAGCACCTTTACAACACCAGCGCTTGATGTGCACACACATCTAAATATAAATGAAGCTCCGCATAATGCCACAAAATGATTAGTGCTTGCATAATATGATCACACGCGTAGTCTACAAGTCTAAGCATCTCTCGTCAGCTTTTTAATCATTCAGCTATTCTATTACTATAAGCTTCAGTGATACACTCACTCTTTTGCAGAAGTTGTATTTGAATTTGGGTGTTGGTTATGGCTCCGCACTGGTTCATCAGTCTGTTTTCTTCCCACGGTTTGCACTAACTTTGTTGTGCGGATGGTTGTTTGTGTGTTCATGCTGTGTATATTGTATTATGCATCTTTGCCTAACTCCCTGTCACTGACGCCGTGTCCAGAATAAACATTATGTGCACATAGCGTCACATTTGTGAATCATGCAGGACAAACGAATGTATTACGGTGGTGTGTTTTTAAACCACTCGTGCGTGTGGGTGTTAGAGCCACCTTCTGCGGTTTACATGCAGCCAGCGTCTCTTGGCAGACATGACAGGCTGGGTCTGTTAAAGGTTGGATGATGGCAGCAGAGAAGGGTGTGTGTTGTAGAGACTACCCTTTTGTGAAATTGGGTTTGCAGTGTTTTTCCCTTTTTAATGAATGCTCTGCTTTCAAATCAGTGTTCAAACCTAAGATGGCCCTTCTGTCAGCGTTCATTGAGAGCTGTGGCTCTCCCTCTCATCCACAATTAAAGTGCGATTAACAAATGCATACTTTTATTATTTTTAAAGATGTATTTGTCCACAGATGCTAATGAAAAACATTCTATCTAATGGTCAGTTATTTGTGAAGTGTCTTTAGTTGCTGCGTTTGTTTATCCTGTCTCTGTCAGTGAGCTGCATGTTAATGCCTGACGCCATTGCTTCTCTCCACCAGACTCTTTGTCCAGTGGATTACACAGTGCGTTTAGTGTGTTTGGAATGCAGACCGTCTGCACAAAGCTAACTTCCTGTGTGTTTGTCTTTCTCTCAGGGCACAGGAAACATTCCTACAGTGGGACCAGTTCAGACGTTTCTATAACTTTCTCATGGCTGACAACATGAAGAAGATCATCCTCTCACACAGGTATCACACGTTTTAGTTCAATCCACATGTTGTTTTTTGCTGTTTGCCAATAAACGGAGCTCTAAGTTCTCACCAATATGACAGACACCGTGGCTTGTCAGTTCTCTAAGCGTTCTCTAAACTTCACGTATAGACTGTGGCTCACCCTGTAGATGCAGCAAAGGTGTGTTTTTTTTTTTTTTAGTTTTTTTTTTTTTAGTGCATCTTCATCAATCATTTTGAGACTGTATTCAACTGTAGAGGCAGATCACAGTTCCACCAAAGAGCAGTGCAGGTTGAGACTGTGCGTTTTATTCTGCTGCAACTTGTAAGAGAATACGGTTTAGGTTTAGTAGGTTTTGCACTTAAACATTAAGGGACTACATGACAATGATGAGAGAGAGGGGTCAGAAAAGGTAGAGGGTCATGATTTCTTTTCTTTTTACTGAAGTGAGTGTAGTCTGACTTTTTAGGAATGTACAGGAAGTCCTTTTTTTTACCCCTATTATTTAAAAAAAAAAAAAAAAAAGAACCAAATAATAAAGTATTATTTCAATAGATCCACAAGGTACACCATCTTAAATAGTTTTTGTGCTTTGCCTCTTTTAGTTATGAATGGTAAATCAAGTTGTACCAATACTGTTATATTATTTGGAGATATTAGTCGGAGGCTATTGCAGCCTTTTCCTTAGTCAGTCACATGAAATATTAATATCACTCTGGAGGGTTTTGCTTTTGAAAAACAAAAAAAAACATAAGCTAATCATTTTCATACAGTCCCTTCCTGCATTGCTCTCGTGGTAGAGTAGTCAGTGATTTGAACATGTTCTATGAATAATGTTTGTGTATGTGTTTGTGCATGTTACAGGCACAGTCTGTTTGGGGGAAGCCCAGTTAAAGTGAAAGATCTAGATCTCGGCCATCTGTACACGGCGACATCTCTCATGCAGATTGACGACAACATCATGAGGTATGTGGAGAAGCCAATCATTTGAGATTGCTTCCAGTGAAAGTCACAGCTCTCTGTGTTGTTTCGATGTGGTAGATTGCAGATTTGTGTTTTTGAGTCTTACAGGAATGTTCATCAACTTGTCAATGGTGAGAATATGAATTATTTGTGATGTGTTTGTTTGATTATTTAATGACACTTCTTGTTTTTTGGGGTTTCAACAGAAAATTCCACGGCCACAGCTCTCTCAAAGAGTACTATGAGAAGGAGAGTTGTGTCCATTACATTCACAACGTAAGAACTCGCATCATCTCATATTATGTTTCTCTCTTTGGTCTGTTTTTGCATTTGTCTGAATTTGTATTGTTTTTGTTCCAGGTAAACGTGCCACTGCTGCTTGTGAACTCTGCAGATGACCCTCTGGTTCATGACTCACTGCTCAATATCCCTCGCACACTAGCAGGTAACTAACCTCATGCATCACAGCTATAGCAGCAGCAGTACAAACAACAGGCTTGCCTAATAGCTGCAGTTTGACATCAGATTTGGTTCTTAGAAAACATGTCTGCAACCTCAAAAGGACCTCTGATGAGTTGGCTTGAACAGGACGAGGTGTGACACAGAGGTCACCTCTATGAGTAATGTCTTTTGGTGTGTTGCAGCAGCTGTAACACACACACACATACAGCTGAGTGTCCCTTTAGCTATCTGTTTAAAGGGACTTTAATTCTTTCACAGGATCCCAACAGTAAATGTTTTATCCTGGAATCATTTGTGCACATTGTCTGAGCGTCATTTACAAACAAGAAGAGGCCGTCTCCTTCCTTCTCCTCAGCCTGTACTATATTTAAACTTACTGGCCACTTTAACTATTTTTGGAAAAGGAAAATCCTTCATCTAACTGTGTGGGTGGGTGGGTGGGGTGTACAAGTCCTGACTGGAAGTACATGTGACTCTATCCTTCATGCGCCTCTGGAGAGCAACACTTACTGAAAAAAGGATCAGCTGCCCTTTGCCCCTAACATGTACAGTGACTCAGATGCATGACTAGCAGGGAGGGACTGAACAGAAATACACTTGCTGTGTTGGTGCTGTAATTACTGTGAATTAAATATGTTTGATGAGAGTTAACTTCGTACTATTAAGGCAGTAATATGAAAGTATTATTTGGTTATATTTGGTCTAAAATGCTTAAACAAGGTATAGTCTGCTCTGGGTTACTGCATTAATGTACTTATGTGGCTTTGGTACAATGTAAGATAACGTTTAAAGAGGCAACAGATTGTATACAGTGAAACACAGTCAAATCTTGAGATGTAGTTTTGCACAGTGATGTGCGTTTGCGTCTCCTTTTTTCAGTTTGAGCTGTTCTCTTTCAACCTGTCACTCAGCGCCATCTGAGGCGGTGGCTCCGGGTCTCGACGAGCACTCGGTTGTCCCAGCAGCTGTCACGGATAGTGCAGAGCAGTGAAAGCCCCGTGGGATCTTAATCACAAGTCGACCGCATCATGCTACCCCACTGACCCAGATAAGAGCAGCAGAATAAAGGGATCCAGGCCGTTCCTTTTTAGGAGACCACTGTGGCTGGTTGTCCACAGCAGGTGGCCATTAGAGAAACTGTATCTTTAGCAACTAATTGATTAGTTCAAACCTTCAGCTGTAGTAGTGGCTGCTTAACCATACCTGCCAGAAGTGAAGTCATGTCTTTATCTATTTGACCATGCAAACACACCCTCGTTATCTGTAACGGGTGTAAAATATTCCCTGGCAAACCCATAGTTGGACATGTGTCCCATGCTGGTTTTCAGATACCGTGCAGGGTACAGAAGCATAATTACTGTGTGCTGTTGTGTCACCCTTTAGCAAAGAAGCCAAACGTCATCTTTTCGCTGACGCTACACGGAGGCCACCTGGGCTTCTTCGAGGGTGCGGTGCTCTTCCCCCAGCCGCTCACCTGGATGGACAAAGTGATTGTGAGCTACGCCAACGCCATGTGCCAGTGGGAGAAACAGAAACCGCCGTGCCAATGTGGCCACCTGAGTCCGAGCTCCTGCGCAGAGGAAAAAGCGTAAACTACTGACCACTGTATGTCTCTCACTCTGTCTCTTCCCGCTCACCCTCTCCAAACACCACTGCCCCCCCAGCACTGAGGAGACACCTGAACTAAACCTGAAACTGCTCTCTCTTCTCTGCCTTCTCCTCTGGTGCTACTCACCGCTCCCGACCCACACATCCCGGTCAAACACGTCTCCACGCCTTCTCCACAGTTCTCCTTTGTAATCACAATCACCTTACCATTTGGGAAGGAACAAGAAACAGCTAACTGCCTTTGTGCTCCTTTCCGTTGCGAAAGACTTTGACTTCAGAGCAGGAACATTTTGATTATTTTCATGTACACAACAATGCTCCTTGTCTAATGGAGGCGTTGACCACATATGACAAGAGATGAAGTCGAGCTGGCATTAAAAAGTAAAGTGAGAGCACCACTTTAGAGTAGTACAGTGGAAAACAAGAGCACACAAGAAGCCTCCTATTACAGTAATCAAGGACTGCTGCAGTCGGTGCCCATTTAATGCACCTGTAAGAAGCTCAATGCTCATCACCGCCAGGGCCATGTAGCCTAGTCTGCGGTCTTAACCAACACAGCGTCTTTGTAGTATGGAGGGATGGATGGATGTACCGCACAGATGTAGTGTGTATGCCTGTGTGCGTCGTCTGTGTAGACCGAGAGTTATTTGATCTTTGTGTTTGGTAGGTGTGATCCAATTTTCCCTGCCATGGTCTATTGGCCCTTCTATTGTCCATTCTTTTGGGTGAACTGTTGTTCCATTGTTTCTAGAAAATGTACAGTAGAAAAGTTAAGTATTATGGTGGGATTTAAGACGTTTTTCCAGCTCATAACATCCCCTTGGCACTTGCGTTTGGCACTTTTGAAAGTGTTCAGTGCTTAGCAGACATGACCAGGGATCAACCCCAGAGGGGATCCACGCACATTCCCACGGTCGCATTTTATCACTTTGATTCAGTGCACTTTATACCCTGTGTGACACAATCTTTTTATTTTTTATTTTTTCCCATTCTTTTTTTTCTCGTCATTAGCCGAAGCGCAGGTATGGAGACTATTAATGGTTTAGCTCTCCTTGTGACCGAGAGGAAGAACTGGAGGGAGCGAGGATGATAACGAAAAGTTAGATGACTCAAGTGTTCCCCATGTTGTCTTTCAGCCCTCTTACTCTTTCGTCTGCCTTTGATCAGCTGCAGGTCCAGCCAACACTATGATATCCTTCTCTTACTGCGCAGACACGAGCACTCCACCTTCTAAACGCCTCATTTGGTTCAAACATCTCACTGCACATTTGCATTTCCCAGCAGATGCTTCTGTGGCGTGGACTGATTGGCCAATGCGGTCCTGTTAAAGGAAAAGTTCAGCAGTGTGAAGCACATTTTCTCTTACAATCTGAGCTGGGAGGTACGACGAGTAGGAGGGCCGACGACTCCGCCGCTAAACCAAATGTTTATTTAGTAGATTGTTTGTACTACTGGTGATTATTAAAGTGATTGTTAAATTGTTAAATTAGATGGCAAACACTGTATGTTAGAAGTGACGGGTTTTATGCGAGGGAAAGGTTTGTTGGAATCTATCTGAAACGTGTCTCGGTGAAGGCGTACTGCAATAATGGGACCTGTGGACTTTTCAAAACCTGAATCTAATAGAGATTTTTTTGCAAACCTTGTTTAAGGGCTTAGGAAGCTTCTTCCAAGACAAAGTCCAGCCAAGTAATCTGAACACTGTGATGGGGCAGATGGACAGATTGAGTGACGAAGGGATGGGCAGTGATTGAAAGCAGCGCATCTTGTAAAGCTTTTTAAGGCCAAAGTTTTCTGTCTTATAACACCTGAGTTTGATAGTGTTTGAAAGAAGGAGCGTTTGTTTGAGATAAAGGAAGATTAGCATTTCAGGACAATTCATAATTGTCTTTGTGTCCGTTAGTCGCAACATTATGACTGAAGAATAATTATCCTGAGTTCATTCTTGACCCACGAAAAAATAGTTTGGGTTATAGTACCAGTGGTTGTTGTACCAGTGGTCAACAACCACTGGTACTCGAGGACAATCTCATAACCAGTTTATGGAGATTTGTTTAATTTATTTTTTAGATGTAATCAGGTTACCACAGTCTTAGGAAGGGAGGGGTGAGCGGTGGGGAATTCCATTGGTTGCAACCACACCACTAGATGCCGCCACATCCTACACACTGTCCCTTTCATGTCACTAATGCTAACTTTGCTAACAGGGATTCACAGATCGGACTTCATCCCTCTCAACGCTGGGTATCTGCCAATACCAAGCACCGATTCGATACCAGCGCCCTGTTTAAAATCTGTAAATCTGTACACCGCATTGAGTGGAACTCGAATCATTTGTATTTACTGTAAAATAGAATAAGGGATTGGCGTGACAGTAAGTCAGCAGCCTGCAATGACTGAATTAATGAAGCGGAAAGTGGAAACACTACATATTATATGACATAGTCAACTAGAAGGGAACTCATTGAAATCGGGCCAAAAGTTTTTCTGTAATCCTGCCAGACCATAATCATAACTAACCGTAGTTTTCACGTGGATCAGTGAAATCTTGGCAGATACTTGATCAACTTTAAAGTGTTTGGGTCGGTGCATTCTGACTGAAAAGTGTAGATCTGTCTCTCAGACTGTAGAGAAGAAGTCTGTCTGAGCCACTACCTTTTTTTTCTTCTTCGTCTCTAAATGGAGTCATCCTGCATTGTTCAAACCACAAATGACTGTCGCCATCTGTTGTCTCGCAGACCAAACTACAAGTGCAAACATCATCGCAATGCATTCATCTGCAGTGAGATTATTTTCATGGCTCACTCTGTCCACAGCTCTCATCCGCTGTGGTTTGGGTTTATTCTGGCTCTTAAAGATAATCCGATGAATATTAATGACACCAGCACAAACCCAGTTTCTGCAGTGAGAGCCATTTGTGTTCTTCTTAAGATTTTTTTTGCCTCCCCCAACTTGGCACAAAAATGCAGGTTTGGATGTATTATTTGGATGTATTTTTTTTCTAGTCGACTATTTGGGGTATTTTTTCTGTATTTTGTACTGTTTTTATGACTTGTGTTTTTTTTTTTTGTTTGTGCAAATGCATCAGAGTGTGAGTGTTGAGTAAACATACAGTAGATGTATACTGTCACCGCTTCTGATTGACAAAAACCAAAACTTCTTCACTTTAACAATTTAAAAAGCTAAAAAAAATATATGGATATAGTGTATATTAAAATATTTGAGGGAACGTGTGAGAAAAATACAGGCAATAACCAACCAGGAGGGATTCTCTTATTTCAATGTGACCTAATATGGTGTCAAAGTATGTTCCTTTTCTTCATGGAGTGTGGGATCTGAGATGTTGTGTTACTGTGATATGAGAACGTTCTCCTGTGTATTTAACCTAGCCCCAGTGCTTCAAGCATCTGCTTTTGTTTTAACTAGATTGTGGGCTCATTTTTGAAAACTGAAGAATTAAAATATAAGAATCTTTTTGACTTTAAATGTCAATGGATCCACAAATTACATCTTGAATGGAGATGAACATTACTCAGGGTTGTGTTTCTCTAAAACATTTTTTTTTATTTAAAACTTATCAGCCCACATTAACCGTTACACAGCTTTAATTTAACATTGACAAACATTTTTAAGGGATGTGATGAGGACTACACGACGGGGCACACATAGTCACACAACATGATGTACTCTCATATTGAACACTGGCTGTTTTTGTTGAAGAAAGCCAGTGGGGGGTGTGTGTGTGTGTGTGTGAGATCTAATTATGTGAGGAAATATGGTTGTGTTCCAAAATAAATTATTTTCTCAAAAGAAAAAAAAAAAAAAAAAGTTTCTGTTCCTCTTTGATATTTGTAATTATTTTTAAACATTTTAAACATCAAATATTATTATAGATAAAGCTACACCGCAGTATAAAAAGTAATTCAAATTAGCGCCACTTTCGTCATCTGCAACGTTAAAATCATAAATTAATCTAAAAATGATTTATGTTTTTAATTGATTCAATATTTGATGCTAATACTTTACTTGTCGGACAAATTCAAACCTCCTTTATGAAACAGAATTAGCTGAAAGTAAACTGGATTTTATGGTTAAACTGTCTTTTGTTAGGAAACACCCACCAGGGTGAAATGACAGGAAGACAAATGATAAAAACGACAATTCATATAAAACTACAGACACAGAAAAACATTTTTATTGAAAATGTCCCAATCCAGTGCAAATTGCAGAATGGATCTTTATGGTACATAAGAGGCACAACTCAAACACGGCTGTTGAGACAAAGAACTGTTTCCATGGCACTGCATCAGGAGGCTCTCGCTCCTAAAACAATAATCCGTTTTCCCTCTTCATATCTTTCTAAACCCCTGAGACTGAAACACCTGTGTTCTCATTAAACCGGTAAAAGGCTGCTCTGTGATGTGAAATTGAATTTTAAGGCCAAGAATTCTAAACCAGACTGACTCGCGTTATCTACTCTCGGTTTCCCTCTGCTTGTAAAGTAACAATGAATGTCAGCGCTGTGAAGTAACAAACATTAACCACCAATTATTCTCCCTGTAACATCTAAACCTCCTTTTTCTTTCCCATTTAGTATATCACCATATATTTCATCATTTGCCACCCGTCCCCTGCTCCTATCTATAACTCTAGATACTTCTTTTTGCTCTTAGCAACGGCCTGAATAATAATACAAAATGTCAACATAGCTTCAACATAGACCGGGTCTGAAGCATCTAGGGCGAAGGACACTATAACTCTTGGGTTTGAAATGGACATACTTTCAGAGAGCAGTGTCTTCAGAGCCAAAAAGCCTGGTGGCGATGACCTGGCAGTCTGCAACAGAGGCTTTCCCATCAAAATCTGCCGGCAGGATGTCTGCATCGAATTCTTTGAAGTAGTTGCTCAGCTCGTCGCCGTGGACAAAGACCTGAGGGAAGTTATGAAGAGTATTCAGATGAATATTGGACAAAACTTAGTGTTTTATTTAGATTAAAGGGTTGATGGTCCTCGATTCGTACCCTCTCCAGCAGCTTGCTCTTCATGAAGGGTTTGACCACGTTGTATGTGGTGGTGAAATACCAGGGCTGGTGCGTAACGTGGACCGCCTTGAAACGGGCAGGGAAAGAGTCCTGCACAAAAACACACAAGAGATTTGAAGAAGATGTTCTGAGGTCTTGTAAAAAAAACTATGTTACCCTACAGCTAAACTGCACTCTCAATACGTTTTGAGGGAAACGTTTTTCCTCCCGGAAACTGAATAAAAAAATGTTACAAAGCTACTATTTTAGGCAACAAAACATCGTGGTTTGGCTTAAAATGAAACTAAATTGAAACAATGTGCAACAAAAGAACTTGGTCGTGTTTAGGCATCAAAAGTGTTCGGTTTGATGGGACTCGAATAGCAATCTTCTGGGTAAATGCCCTGTTTGTTTTTACCCATCCACCACCCCGACCTTCTCCTCTATACATAGACTTCCGTGGACTTATTCGTGATACGTTGAAAGCGAAAGTAATCCACGACACAATACGCTTACCTCGAAACGTAATTAACAGTGCAGTTTTGTTGTGTGGGAATTTGTTTCAGGAGAAAGGGTTATGAGGTAGCACATCAAGAAATTCTCATCTTTTTCTTTGAGAGCCTGTTCAGACCTGCAACATGTCCACCATCTTCTTGAGCTCAGCCGGCTTTATTCCTGAGGCGTGCTGCATGGTGAAGCCCTTGAAATTCTCAATCAGGACAAAGCCATTGATCTGGGTTTCTTCATTCTCCAGCAACTTCTCCAGGATCACACAGTACGCTCTTAAGACCTGCGACACACAAAGACTTTTTCAACAAATACTTCAGAATAATTTGCAGCGTCTTCGAAGTTGCTCAATAGCTACCTCATCGAATGTGATCTCCTCCAGGTCCCAGTTCTCGATGTTGAAAAGCAGCACAACGCGGCCGTACTTGTCCCTGCTGGGCAGAACCACGGGGTAACCCGCCTCGATGGTGCTGCGGACGGCCTCCGGGGTCATGTTCTCAAACAGCTCGGGATACTCCTTCCTGAAGCGCACATAACCTAGAGGGCACACAACACACCCACAGTTTACCCTGACCTTATTCTAACCTTAAACCAAGTCTTCACTCTGAAATGTAATGATTACTGTTATGGATACGTTCAATTGTCATTATATAGTTGCCCCTCGCAAAAAAGGGAGTCCCCACAATGTAACTGTAATCAGATTAACACACACACACACATCACAAGTAAAGGATAAGCTGCATTCTCTTATCGAGCACTAGTGGTTCCCAAACCCTTTGTGCAGGTTGATGTGCCAAACACAATGACACCACTATGCATCGCCAGTGCTGCTCTGAGGCTCTTCATACCGAGGCACCAATTAACCCAGAGTGTGTGTGTGTGTGTGTGTGTGTGTGTGTGTGTGTGTGCGCGCGCGCTTGTTTTTACCCGCAAGCAGCAATTAACCCCAGAAAACAAGTTCAAGTTCACATCACATTCCCTTCTCACACTAACAAGTTCTGCTTCTCTATATTCATAAATGTGTGTGTGTGTGTGTGTGTGTGTGTTTTTTCAGCCAAAGACAAAAAAAAAACAATCCAAACTAAAACTGTTTATTTTGGGTTATATTTGGCCTCGAGAAGTTAGAGGCTGTGGTTACAGTTGACATCTAGTAGTGTTAAGGTTTAGAGTATTATACTAAAGTTCAGATTTAGAGGAAAGGGGAGCTTTAAATGCGAGTTATTTGGCTTCAATTTGCCTGAATGAAGGTTACGGTTGGGATGATTGCTCAATAGTTTTGGTTGAACAATTACAAATATAATTTTGCAATGAGTCCTAAGCGCGCACACAAACAATAAGCAAGTCATAAGCTTGGTATCTTCTCATAGGAAGTGTCAAAGTACTCTGATTTGAATGTCATCTCCTCTCCCAGATCGACACAATCAGCACATGCGCTGTGGAGTTCCCAGGAGAACACTGTGAGTTCATGACTAAAGTAAACTTGCTGTCCCATTTGGACACAAAGGAGGGCTTTGTCAGGGGAAACTCAGAAGCATCTCAAAGCCCCCAATTAATGAACACATGCCGCCCTGTCTCATTGATGGGCAGGATTCATGCAAACCAGGGGCACAAAAGAGGTCTCACCCTCAATTAATGGAGCTACTGGAAAATGTCTGCAGAAACAGAATTTTCTCGGTTTGTCTCGCTACAATAGAACTAGAACTACTAACCCTTCATGAGCTCGTGGGCTCTGACGACTTCAAACTTGCGAGCTCTGAGGAAGCGCAGCATCAGAGAGTCTGGTTTGTCTCCGAAGTGCTCCAGCACCAGTTTGGCCAGGTCGTCTCCCTCCGCTGCTCTCTCCTTCATCATGGTCCGCAGGTCCTTCAGGGACGACGCTCGCCTCTCATCCGTCTCAGTCAGCTCATCCTTCGCCTGGGGGGGGGAGAAAAACCAAAAACAAAAACGCATTAAACAAATGTTGGGTTCTGCAGGGACAAAATGAACAATGGTGGCTTTAATATTTAGATTTGAACTCCTCTGTCAATGCTGCCCTCCAGTTATTATTATTTCACCTTTTGCACAGTGTGTCCAGGCAGTTTGTGGCACGGACCAAACACCGGCCCATGATCCTTCACTGTCAAATGCTCCAGCTTAGACCTCATGGCCTGCTCCTCCTCTGACACCATACGGAAAGATCCAGTCTGCATAAGGAAGAGACGCTTTTAAAAATAGACAAGATCATCTATCCATCTTCAGATTTTCATAAGTTTCTTGGTTATATCACCATACAGTGACAATCCAATTTGCTTGAAATCCTCCTTAATGTTTGTCTTTTACATCAATATTGTATGCCTTCGTGGCTGCAGTTTGTGAAACGACTCCAAATGCTTTGCTGCCTGAATACTTCAATAGAAACTCATGACAATGACTTTTAAGTTGTGAACCCACAACCCAATCAGACTCCAAACGATGCACACCAGTGAACGGCTGGTTAATCTGCTTCACATGATTACAGAAAAGACTTAAAAACAGCTTATGGGTCCATCCAAGAGCCAGCATCTACTGGCAAAATACCAGCATTATGCGCTGACAGTGAAATCTCCCAGAACACCAACCAGTGAAGTGAGGCCAGACACTGACAAAAACGACTTAAACAGACACAAAGTGACACTCGAGTGCTCTCTCTTGATTTGTTGCGCAGTAGGTAAACTTACAGCAGCCATGGTTGCAGCGTCTCACGGCAGCTTCTCTGACACTGAGAAGAAAGAAGAATGGGCACAAACAGAACATGAGCACATCAAGCCTTTCAGACATTTAGTTTGTTTGTGTCTGAGTTTGTTAAGGAGAGACCAGAGATGCATTAGTCCAGTTTTTGGTATATTACAAAATCAACATAAATGATGAGCATGAATGAAACAGGTGGTGTTATAGGGTAGCAAAAAATATTTTGTATCAGTGAATTATTGAGATGGAAAAGTGATTTTTTTTACTCATCAGTGGAGCAGACATCCTCTTACATAAGAGCCTGACAATACAGTAACAAAACAACAGATGTCTACTCACTGCTACTCTCCCATAGAACTGAATTACCTAACCTAGACTGGGTTTGTTCCTCATTCATTGCCATTACATCTGAATCACAGAGCTAAGCACAATATAAATGCCTGATATTTGAAAAACAGAAGATAGTTTAACAACACTGGACTAGTGAGATTTTAAATGTTTGTCCATGTTGTACAAATTGAGCAAGGACTCAGGCTTCAATCTTTGTTTGGATTAGAAATCAGAGGTCCCAACTGAGTTAGGAAGTCTTTTTCATAGCATGGAAACTGAAGATCTTTACAGCCAATCGGTGAAAATACCTTCAGTACAGCGGTTAGTGTTTTCAAACATGACAATAATTTTTTGTAAAATTCGGAGGCTTACCTCTGTGACTTGAATGTAATGGTAATGAGAGGCACACACTGGGGCTACAACCAATACAACTGCTTTCTAAAAACGTTTACTGGACGTGGTACATTGAAAGCACAAAGTATTACAGATGAAGCGAATCAAAGCAATCAAAACTTCAACTGAATTAAAAACAAAAACAATCATATCTTTCGCCAAATAATGTTGATTTAGCGGCATAAAGCCAAACACTGATATTAATATTAGTTGACATAAAGTCACCGATGCCCTGTCAGCTGTGTGTTAAAGTGTAAGTTTTGTACCCGTTTACATATGAAATCTTGGTGGGTGTAAATTAAACATCACAGCGGTAATCTGTCTTTTCACATCCAATGAAATCAAGTATTGTTTTATTGATTACTTCTTATCATCACATGATACAACACCAACATCCTTATAATGCTCATGATTTATCTTTATTTCCTTACCTATGTCGGGGTTATCTTAACTAAAGAGCAGAGCAGCCTTACCTTCAAGCAGACGGGATGAGAGGAGCAGACAGAGTGGCAGAGGAGACAACAAGAGGAGAGGGGATCAAGAGGGGAGGAGTTATTAAAAACGTCACTCAAAGTAGGATTCAAATGACACAGTGGATTACAATGAGTGCTAATCTACATGACGCAAACTGCGATGGGATGGGGGAGGAGAGGTGTGCCGGTCTGGACCATCACTCTGGTACGGGGGTCCTGAGGAGCAAAACGTTGGACGGAACACATCAAAAGAAAACAAAACTTTTTAGAAATCATATCGACATTTCAGAAAACTAACCCAACGCGTTCATTTAGAAAACATATATCACAAGAATCCTTAACAAATGATCACAACATAAAGCAACAACAAAACTAAAACAAAAATGACATTTCTGGAAACACAACAAAGTTAGAGAAAACTAATGGATGATGTAGAAAAAACTATTTTGTTCATGTGTTTTGTCCATTGTTGTGTGTTTTTGCACCTCTGAACCACTCTGGACTGGTGCTCATTTTCATCACACTAAATTTTACTTTGAAACATAAGCAAATACAAACCTAACTCGAAGGGAATCTAAAGAATGAGAAGATACTGTACATAATTTAGGTTATTTTTATGTATTTCATTCGTGTGCAGATTCCAGCTCCAGCTGTTTACCTCTTAAACATCACTTCATACTGACGGGACATTTGACCCAAAACATGTGACATGAAAGGTGGAATTTAAACTCGATAGTCTTGTGCCTGTGGGAATGCCATATGAGAGACACGACCACCTGTGAAGCACCCACACTTTCAACTTCACATTACACATTCCTCTTTGTAATCCACATCAGAGGGAGCCACTTGTTTTGGGACCCACATTATGGGTTACTTATCCATGATTGCACAACATCAGATAACTTGACTCTCTCCCAGTGCCAGTCAATAATTACAGTAACTGAGAATCAACTTATGTTTGCTTTTTGGAGACTGATGATAGTTTGTCATGTATCTATTTCCATCTTCATTGTCTCCATCTTTGTTACCTACAGCTATTAATAATTCTGATGTCATTTATTTTTTATTTTTGGTAGGTTGGTTGGTCCTCGACTTTGGTCCAGACTGATATCTCTACTTTTTCATCTAGGGATATCATCAAGTCAAAAGTTAAAGGTGCAATATGCAGCATTCAGAGCAGATATAGTGAAGAGCTATCGCTGAGCTGGTAGAAGAGGTTAATGAGCTGTGGGTGATCAGAAGAAACGTCCATCCGACACTGAGGCTCTGCTGGGTCTCCCTCCTCCACACACTGAGACCTCTGTCATCCAAAACTGGCAGACTTACTGTACTGCGCTGTTGGTCCTCTATCAGCACCTCTCATTAGTGGATGCTCATGAATAACCTCCTATATCCTCACAAACACATACACGGGTTAACAATGTCTCCATGTGGCTGTTTCAAGTCTCTGGTGTGTATAGTTAAGGTCTTTGATGTGAAGGAATTCCTGACAGTTATTTCATACCAGAGTGAAGACAGATCAGAGATTAAACTCAAGCTTTATATTTGATTCGTTTTCTGATTCACCATCTGGTTTTAATATATTTTCATTGTAGTCTGAACAACAAAAGGACCACAAACAACTTTCTTCATTTATTAGAAAGATTTGTCTTTTCATCATCTGATGTTTCCCTCAATAACTTTTATTATGAAAACAATTAAAGTCAGAGAGAGCTGGAGAGACTAAACACGTCTTACATCATTCCTGAGTGTTTGATGAGTTTTATCATTTAAGAGAAACAATAATCATATTCTGGGTTATTTAATAATGACGCCACAGTCACAATTTCAAAACGTACAGACGCAAATAATTCATAAATAAGACGATCGCATTCAGCCGGTAGAAATGGATCCTGTGCTTATAAACAGAACACAGGACAGTTTGTTAACAGACTATAGAGATAAAACACCTCTACACTGATGATAATTGTGTGTCTTTATTAGTTATTAGTATTATTAGTTACTATTATTAAGTACAGTGATCATGTGAACAGACACAAACTTATCAAAAGTCTCTCCAGCTGCTAAAGCCGACTGACATCTGATCCAGCTGTGATCAGCTGATCCTCCGTCATCAGAAACAGACGTCGCTTCACGTGACGCAACTGAGGAAAGGACGTCTCATTTCTCTTAAAACATATTTCCTTGTTTCCTCTCTCCTCGCGTCTCTGCATGCTTCCCTGGTGGGAGGGACTAGGACACAAGGAAAATGATCAATGAGAAGCTCAACACTTCCCCCTTTTGGCTCCAGTAATCTGCTGCAACCTTGACCCACATGGCATCAAATCCCCCACAAGTCAGAAACATTCTGTAGCAGCTCATGCTGTAATTTAATTCAAGCTTCCTTTTGATTAGAAGTAGAGGAAGAGAAACTAAAATATGTTAAGTATGGTTTTAAATGGTGCACTGGCACTAACACATAATGCCCTTGACAACACTAGTGTGCATTTCCATTCATGATTAGTTTATATAAAGTGTTCATCTTTCTAACATACTAACATTACGCTTAATCTATTATATAACAGCTACTTGACTACACTTTAGTGCAGTTAACTGTGATATTTTGGGACACCATTAACATAAAGTGTATCAAAATAAATGTTCTAACATCTATATATTCAAATTGTATTACCTAATATAATTTAGAAACCTATCAATATACATTATGCATTACTATACAATAAATATTTGTTTAACATACTTAAAATATGTAAATATTATCCCTGAAAGAGTGATTTGATTAAATTGAAGATATATGAAAATAATGTCCATATTAATTATAAGCAACTTTTGCACACGGAAAACAAACATGCAGACAATTCCTCCTTTATCTTTACTCTGATCAAGTTTACATAACAGACAACAAAGTTGTTTCTCTCATGAGATTAACACAAAATATAAGATATATAAGATAAAAGATAAGGCACAAAACAATACATGTAGGTCTACTTGACAGTCGATGTTTGATGACAAATGATTCTTTTTACACATTATGCATTCTGGCAAAAAGCACACTGATGTGAGGTATTTTTGCTGTGTAAGTTTTTGTGACAACCAACCCACACCTTCCTCCTATTTGTTCTAGCATCTGACCATCCCATGACTGTGATGGTCTTGTGACTAAACAGAGACAGTTCATAATTACATACATGGACTTCATACACTTTGAGTGTCAGCATGCTGAATTAAAGTAATGTAATGTGAAGTACTGTGGTGTCCTGCTTGGTTTGATTCCTAGACACAAATACAAGTATGTGCACAAGGGAAATACGATGAATCACGAGTTTGCAAAATCAATTCTTTATCTTCGCTTCTCTTTGTGCTGATATTTAAAGCTTCCTTATTTGTCCACAAGCAAAATAGAGAACTAAAAGCACTCTACATATCAAAAGTGTTTTAATAAAGCAGCATTCTGTTTGTAGTTACAGACTAAATGGACAAAGCTAAACTAAATGGACTAAACTGGGACAAAGGTCAAAATAATGTAAATGACTGGGATCAGCTTGTTTAAATAATTGTTAAAAGCCGATTACATCTTAGCCTAAAGATAAAAAACTGATTTGTGATAGGGGAATTGCAAACAGTATAAAAATAAATCCCACATATTTTCTTCATCATTGCATCTCTTCTCTGTTTTTGGGGTATATAACCTCTCAAGGCATCAGGAAGTCAGTTTACAATACACTAGTTTACTGGACAAATATATTACATGTTGATATTCGAGAAGTAATAGCAACTTCTTCTACATCTTAAAGCAGTGCACTAAAATACCATGGTTTACTAAATACACTTTGGTCAGAGGAAACACCATGAAGTTACAAACCAGCTGCAAAGAAACACTTCAACAAAACGCACCAACAGTGCTTTATGGAAAGAAGATGCTTCCAGTTGGAATTAGTTTCAAGTAAAATGTAAACATTAAAGATCTGGTGGGACTGATTTTCTGACCCGATTGAATTCATTATACGTCCAACATGAACCTTTGTTTACAGTAGATTCCTCAATAGTGTCAAAGGTTATAGGCTCTTTTTTAGTTTGTCCAAAGCATGTCTCAAAACAAGGCAAGTGATAAATGAGGGGACTCTGTGAAATGCTACTTCTTTCCTCTGTGCCTCTCTCAGCTTTTCAACAAACTTATCATTGCAGGAAGTGGTTCCTCTTTACATAAACACCTCTTGAAAAGAAATGATATCAACATAAACGGCCCCGACTCCTCCTTTGTGAATTTTTTAAAAACTATAATAAAAGTAATACAACATCAATATCTGTTGTCATGCTCCCGTGGACATTAAAAGCTCCAGAGTTCTTTTGTAATGAAGAAACTTTGTCTTTCAGTACAAAAGTAAAGTTTGTGTGAGCTGCAGTGTTTGCCACAGAGCGTCCGGGTTAAGTCCCGACGGCTGGTCTCCGTCTCAGCCCAAAAACGTCAGAGCTGCCATGATGCTGAAGCCCAGCAGGATGAAGAGCACCTTGAGGAGCTGCTTCCCGGGGGAGTTGAGCTCATGCGGGAGGATCTCCAGAAAGGTGATGTAAATAAACGTCCCCGCGGCGAGCCCCTCCAGCACGGCCTGGATCAGCGTCCCGGCCGCTAGCCGAGCCTCCATCACGCTGATGCCAACGGCGATGCCTATCGGCGACATCATGGCGAAGACTCCGATGTAAGCAGCCACCCACAACGGACGGACGGCGCTCTGGACCAGCTTCACCGACAGGCTGAACACTATGATGCTTTTGTGGACAAGAATGGCGATGCAGATCTCCAATACCTGGAGGAAACAAAGAACAAATCCTTTAAAAGCTTCCATAGAAACACAAACAACAGTAAATGTTGATGTCATCTTGTAATTTAAGGTCATTGATGTAATTCAAAGAGGAGCTATGCTTTATAGCAAGATTAGCTTTATCAATGAAGTGCACAGATGTTCCGGTGTTTCATTTGCTGTATTATCATTATTTTATCCATCAACTGTTTCTCATTTCATCCTAAATAAAATGTACAATGTAGCAACAAATAAGGATACTAAAATATAAAGTAACATATTCTTAGATGTACTTCAATAGAGGATCTTTCCGTATCGCCCACTCCCAGGGGGTAACTGAATCATTTGTGTAATCAGTTGAGCCCATTGTTCTGTTTGGACAACTTCCTCAGTTTTGGAGAATAACATGAACTCAACAGGCTGATATTGTTTATTTACTTCACACCAAACTCTTCTGCACCTGTATCCAGCAGGGCTGCAAGAGTCCACCAACCACCTCCTGAGGACTCTTCTACATAACTGTAGCACCCTGAAAAATACAACCACTGCACGGATCAAATTACTCAATAAGCCGACTCTCGTTTTCATACAGTAACTTACTTGAAGAAAATGTCCAACTGAGTGGACACATAAGAAACACACAACTGCATGTAGATGAAAAGTCCTGAGGGCACATTGATGGTTTGCTCAGACTGCTTAGGTTGACCACGAGGTGCAGATCTGACTCTCATGACAGCCGGATTCCTTTCCTGCCAAAGCGTCCTGAAGCTATGAACTGAAACCCTGCTTTCTTCTGGTTACATGGGAATGTTGTGAATAAGATTCCAACTTTATTAGTGAAGCACTTTTCTAAGACAAATGTTTACAAAGTGCATGTTGTGTAATTAAGCCAGAAGACTCACAGAGGTAACTTTAAATTTAAAAAATGGTTAAAAGTGTAAAAAGAAAGTGGAGAAAATGACAAATGCTGTATATTCTCTGGAACTTTGAGCAGATTAAGGCCTCTTGAAGGGTTATGGAGCTGTTTTTCAATGAGCGGGTCCCCTTTACATTATTCCATTGATCTAAGGGTGGTGGTAACACACCAAGATATGCTGCAATGCATTCACAAATGTAGGGAAGAAGAAAGCTGAAAGCTAGTGAACATGGATTTAAAAAAAGGTTTTTACAAATGTTTGAAGAAGGAAATGCACTCGATACACACAATGCATTATTGTGAGCAACAGTGGATGTAAACACATATTTGTTTGTTTACAGGACAACTCCACAGGACCCATTGAACATCAGGTGTTTGTGTCTTCTTACCTTCGAGTCCGTGCTCTGCAGACCGATGGCAAGACCCTCAAAAACCGAGTGGAGCGAGAGGGTGAGGAAGAGCATGAAGGAGCGGAAGGGGGAGTGAGCCTGAAAGTCAACATGGACGTGGTGACCGCTGCCCTCCAGATCAGGGCTTCTTCCATGGCCGTGTCCGTGGCCGTGCCGGTTTCTGTTGTCCGGTATGAGGGGCGCCCTCTCCTCCTGAGCCCCTCGCATCTCCCGACAGTTCAGGACAATCCTCTCCAGTATGAGGACCATGAAGAAGCCGGCCGCCATGATGAACTCTGGAAGAGGGAAACTGGTCTGTTTGAGACCGACAGAGCGATTAATGCGCTGCAGTCTCCATCTGATAAAGTCACGAATAAGGAAGCACTGCTTGTAGACACATTATAGTACAGTATGTCTATAAAGACCTTCGGTCACCCAGGATGGGATATCTAAAAGTGCTACGTTGAAAACAACAGGAATAGCTGTTTAAGTCATGAAGACCACACGTCGATCACATGTTCTTACACACATGTCTATTTCATTCTTTCACTTTATCGAATAATAAATATGGCTGAGCTATTATTTATTCGTTAAGAGAATAAAAACAGTAAATAAAATTGCCTTAGCACTCCCCAGCTTCTCAAATGTGAGGATTTGCTGCTTTAGTTCTGTTTTCTATTATTATGAATTTTTACTTCTTTCTAAAATTGTATAGACTAAATAAATAGATTAATCAAAACAATACCGACATACATTTACATGACTGATACATTTTCAATAAAAAACAATAAATATTATATGTGATGATTTATTCACAGCCTAAGTTTGTCCAAATCAATCAATCAATCAATACTTGGACGTACCTCCACCAACCGAGCATCCAGCTCAGCATTTATGTCTGACAGATAATCTGGAATGATGTCGAGAAGACATGCTGCCAGGAAAACCCCGCCGGCAAAGCAGCTGATCAGACTCAGAACTGTGCGGTGGGTGTCTGCAAATGCAAAGACAAAACAGCTCTTACATTTCCACATGAACTTACACACAATGGTTCAATTACTACAAATAAAATGCAATTAAGTGCAGAGTAAACAAAGCCTGTTTTCTAGCCTCAGTCATGTGTTACTCTGCTTTTGTGAAAATCTGTCGGTGATTCATGATCGTCTCTGTGAGTGAATGAGGCACTTTACATTTTCTAACTTGGTTAAATGTAACTAATTATCACTATAACCTGAGGGATTGATGGTACACCTCAGACATTGATCAAATCACCACCGTCCTTCCAAAGTTAGAACAATTGTTAGAAGATCATGTGACACATGATGATCATGAGAGCACAGAAGTCTAGTTGACTCAGCAGAGCAGTGAATCACATGCGGATGTAATGGAGAGAAATTATACTCTCACTTCCCAGTTCCAGTGAAAAAAGCCAAAGTTCACCATCCAGACATCCCTGCTGAGTCTGTTATTACATCATTGTCAGGTGACTCCAGGCAGGAGAGGAGGATTTGTTAATGGTCATAGTGAATTTACACATTTATGTTCACATAAATAACAATGTAATGGCAGAGGAATTAGTAAACAGTGTGAGCTCATGCCAATATATGATGGCTGATTGAAATCTACCCTGGTATTAAACATGTGACCACTGTTCTGTTATGAGTGGGTTAGTGGTTTCCGAGTCACGGTTGATAGAATCAATAGCGGTCATTGACTTTACGACACTAAATCATGTGATTCAGTGAGACCGACAGCTGGTGAAACGGAACCACGGTATACCCTCCTCTAATCTTACTTAGGATCGTTGCACAAAACCTAATCAAAATGTGGGAACATTTAAGGTTGGCTTGTTTATCTGTCAATCGCAGTACATCGTAGAATAAAAATGAAAACCGCAAATGAATCAGCGACTTCTCCTTTTTACTTCGGCATCGGTGTACTAAAGCAAAAACTCAGCCAATCAATCACTGTTTAACTGAGACTGTAAGACGACTCCAATGCCCAGACTTCTTTAAAATATGAATACGTTAACAGTGAAGAATGCTATCTTAGTAAACACTAATACAGACCTGTCCCGTTTGTGTCTCTGAACCATTTGACTCGAGCGGGGATAAATCCAAAAAGAAGAGTTAAGAGCAACAAACCGATCAGAGCGCCTATTTTCACCTGCAGCAAGAATTCCATTTTGTGGCATAAAAAGTGTGTCAGTTCAAGAGTGATGTTCGCTGCCTAACTGTACTCCCATTTCATGAGCTGTGCGGGAAGCCGGAGCTTGATAAGAGTTTAGTCAGAGAGCTGCAGCAGCTTCTGTTGTTATTTAGAAATGGTTCGCCAGTTCCCTCTACGGTGGCCGAGAAGGGTGAAAAACGTAATCGCGAAAAACTGAACAGGGAACGTCAAGGTGAATATACTTTATTTTATACTTATAATAACAATAACACATTTTTTTAAACTTTGTGATTTTATCAGACCTTTAATACTAATCTGAGGTAGAAAAAGTACTAAAATGAAGTTCTTAAATACAACTATGTAATACTATTGGGCCTACAAGTAAAAGTCTTACATAAGTAAAAGTGCACAAGTCTGAACATGTAGGCCTACTTGAAATATCAAAAGTGACTGTCCTTGTTACTTCAGTAAAATGTTCTCTGATTGAGATCATATTGTACATTATAAGATTAACAAGACACTGCTTTTAAATAAAATAAGTAAGTAAGGGGTCACAAGACAGAATTGTTGTCCATGCTTTTATAAAACCAGTAACTTTGATGTTGTATTAATTCATTTTTACAATATGTTTGGTGTAACTCTTGTTTGTGGTGGTTTCATTTTCCTCACTTTGTTGTTTACATTTTGAGTGGTTCCCAAATGCTTATAATAAAAATATCAAAGGCCAATTGTTGATCTCAAGTTATAATACCAGTTCATCCTGCAAGGGGAAATTTGCAAAAAATATACTTAAGCAATCAAGAAGGCCTCATTGTAAAGACTGTGGCCTAATAATAATTATACATAAAATGACTTGAATAAATAAGAATAATTAACTAAAGTTCAATCTTCTTATAATTATCTTTTTCCGTGGGTAACGTCATTAATTTGAGTATTTATTTATTATTTGTAAACCAGCAGATGGTGCCCTCTCACCACATTTCAAGCCACACACAAACACACGCGCGACAGTAATCGATGACGACATATTCATGCGCCGGATATGTTTCCCCCCACCCATCGATCAGAAGCCCCGAGTGCTGATGTGTTACAAGAAAGCTCACCGCAGGGAGACTTGTGAGTTTCTTCCTTGATGCAGTAATAATACAATAACGGAGAGAAGCGGCGGTGGGTCACAGGTCGATGTCAAAGAAGACGCAGCGGAAGAGATCGACAGCAGCGGGTCAGAGAGCGAATGGCGGTGAGAGAAACGGAGACACACGCAAAGCTGCAACAGAGACGCAGTGAGACAGGAACAAGTGACTGATTCACTGCTACGTTTACTTAAAAACTGTTTACTACAGATGACGCTCCCGTGCGAGGTGACTCGGGAACAGTGAGACCAACACAAGCTGCAGAAGAAGCTAAAACAATAGTGTCTGTGTGTAGGAAAGAATAAACATTTAAATACATCTGATATCATTTTTCTCCCCATTACCTCCATATTTTACTGAGCTGAATCACAGTTAAGATGTGTCAAAATGGGTAACACTTCCAGGTCATTAGTTTACTAGTACTAGTACTACTGCTACTACTCGTCCGTTTTGTTTTTATAGTATCTTAATTAAACATTGTATTTAACTAATATACAAGTTTTTCAAAAGCAACATAATAAATGTGCACTGACAGATCTACAGCTAAAGTAGTTATGTTGACATGATTTTGATATGTTTGGGAAATAATGAATCACTCAAAAATACGTATTTAATAAAAAAATATTATATACAAGAAAAGCGTCTAGAGCTACAAACTTTACTTCAAGTTTGTGGAAGTTCCCATTTAAAAAAAACTAAGATATAAACTTAAGCTTTCATCTCTGTTCTAATAATTCGATACCAATGCTATTTATTATTGTTCAGGTTTTTATTTCTGATTAGCTGTAGGTCATATATTAATAAATCTTAAGACGTGAGAACACATAACATTCACAAATCTTTAGCGTTTCAGATTTTCTTTATTTTTTTTAGCAGAATCTATTAAATAAATGTCAGATATCAACTTATATTACTGCCTTGAGAGAGCAGGAAGTTTAGCCAAGCCCCATAAGCTGTTTTGCACTTGTATTTACTCAACATGCATTCATTAGTTGGTGTGGTTGATAAACAGCTTCATAACGCTGAAACGGCTCTCTGTGTTTTTGCCCCACAGCCCAAAGGTAAAGTTGGCACCAAGGGGAAGAAGCAGATCCACGAGGAGAATGCGGAGACTCAAAAGTTCTACACCAGAGTCATCCTAGGAGCTAACGTAAGAACCTCGCCGCTGTTTTTGTGTCGTTGCAGTCAAAGGAAATGTCAGTGAGATGGACACTGCAGGCCTTGACCGAGTGGTCAACACAGAGTGGTCTCACTGGATCAAAGCTTGTTCATTACTTTAAAAACACTTCCGTTCTGCAAGTTGCTTGAATCTCATGCAAGCTGCAGATCATCACAGTATGTTTTATGTGTTTCACATTATTTATGAATTAGGGGTGGGCAATACAGTAATTTTTTTTGAAATAATGATGAATACAACTTTAATATAGTAATATATTTTGAAATGTAATTGTAAAACTGTCTGTTTTTGGCTACTACGTTGAAAATGTTAAAATGATTGATTATCATAAAAGTTGCAGATCAAAAACTACTAATTGATTCCCACCACTACCATCACACTGCCATGTCATCCAAACCCATAACTATTCTGCTGTTTCTCCTCAGGCAATATATGTTGCCGTAAATCTTTTGGTTTTCTACAGTTCGTCTACATTTTCGACATGGGTGAGTGCATGTAATCAATATCATTTATAATCTCAATAGAGCACAAATCTGATACACTACCTCCCTCTCTGGCTCTAACGCCTCGCATCCCTCCTGCAGCTCCTGCTTGTGTTCGCACTAGCAGTGCATGTCGGGAGCTACCGCTCCATGTCGGCCATGGCCAAGGCAGTGTTTGCTGAGGACGGAAGTCTCGTGGACGGAGGAATAGACTTAAACATGGAGCAGGGAATGGCAGAGTAAGTAGTCCCCAAAATACAAATAGGGTTCAAGTATAGTGGGAAGAGGAAGTCTGCGTCGGCATGAAAACAATGTTACTATGTGAAACAACTTGGACGTGCACATGGTTTTCCATTCAGTTGTGTTTTGTGATCAGTTTTGTCCTAATCCTCTCATTGGTGGAGCATATTGAGCACAGGAAGCTTTGCAGACATTACCCAGGGCTCAAAATACTGCTTTCCCTCCTCAACTGCGTGAATGACTGAATTTATATCTTCGTTTAAAGGTGACGATGAATAGGATTTTCCAAGACTCGTACTAAAGTAATCCCTCTCACTCGTCACTTATGACCCACTAGAAGTGTGTGTCTGTATCTGCCGAGACCCTGCCCTCTGCCTGTGTCATCTTATATTGCTGTGGTCGTGACGTTTCAGAGCGTCACCCTCTATGAAAACGTAGAAATCAGGTGCCAGATCGTAAGTACAAAGCCAAGAGGAAGCTACGGAAATGGCGGACAGAGAGCAGAAAACACGCAATTATAGTGAGGTGAAAGCCAAGCGGACAAAGCAAAACGAGCACCGTAACCCTATGGACGGCATTATATTAAAGTATGTAAATAAATAGCAGTCGCATGCTTTGTTAGTCCTTGCTGAAGAGGGTAAAGTTGTTCTATGTGCACAGAAACATAATTTTCAGTGATATTTTATTGTGTGTGTTTTGGTTTTAGGCACCTGAAGGACGTCATCCTGCTCACAGCCATAGTCCAAGTGCTCAGCACAATCTCCTCTTATTTCTGGTATCTTTGGATGCTGGTAAGACGATGTTCCTGATAAATCCTGTGAGATAGCTGTTAATTTTCTGCCTGATTCCTTTTCTGCTTTCTTCTTGTCTCATAACTTGATTGTGTGTGTGTGTGTGTGTGTGTGTGTGTGTGTGTGTGTGTGTGTGT